AGCACGCTTGCAGATATAACAACTACAGATGGTAATTCTATTGCATCAAGCACTCCTACAGATAAAAAAACAACCAATAGTTCCACTACTCCATCAAGCACATCTACGGATATAATAAGTACTGACGATTCCACTACGGGATCAAGCAAATCTACAGATGTAACAACTAGCACACTTGCAGATTTGTCAACTACCGATGCAAATAGATCTACTCCAACTGGAGATATTATAACTTCAACGTTGAAATTTGAGACTAGTACACCTTATTTTTATATGCCACGTACCAGAGAGGAATTGGAAGCGTACGTTCAACAACGATTAGAAGAAGGACTTAAACAATGCAAAAGGCAATAAGATATGAGATTTTCGTACATATAATTTATCAATTATATTAAATTATTTAAATTATATTAATATTCAACATTAATACTATTATTCTGAGTTCGACTTTGTGTTTAATTACTTTACGAAAAAAATAATATACGAAAGTATGCCAAGTATGTTTGTACAAGAACATTATTCCTAGAAATAATTTAGATACGAGCTATATTTGTTTTTATTAAAAATAAATCCATCTGCGTTTTAATTACATAATTACAGTGTGCGTTCGGCGCAGCATGGATGAAATTCATTAAAGGCGCTCGGACTTAATGCTGAACACTTTAATAAAACGGTTGTGTGTAAATGATTAAAAACGATTAATTTATATTTTTCATTAAAGTGTTCGTTTTCGACGTCTCTATTGATTTCACGAAAGCTACTTTGATATATTTAAGACTTTTCGTAGTAAATCCGTATCTGGTAATCTAGAAAAGATCTCATGCAAATATATGTTGTGAAGCTGGCTGGGTAAGCTCAGTAAAATGTGAGGGTTTATGACCGGGATTCACTTTTGTGTCTGCCAGTATTCCGTTTATTCGTATTCTAATTTCAGTACCCCAATTCGCGCCCTAATCCTTCCTAATAATTATCCGACAACTCGACGATTTTTCGCCTTGATCAATTATGCTAAACGAGTAATAACACTAGCACTGTTATATCGATTGGCATCGCTGCTTTCTCTGTGTAGGCACGAAAAGATAGACTCTTTTTTTCTTCAATCGTTGGAAACGTGATCCCATTTTTATGTGTTATATAATATCAGATTTCTAGCTGAAGCAAATAGAAAGGACTTTCGGGTCCTGGTGCCATCGATAATAAACTTTTACAGCCATAACCAGAGGGGCCTGTAACGTCTGAATGGATGTGTTTTTTATTCTAATTTTTATGCGGCAAAGGGGAAACCTCCCATTAACGTTCATTTATTACGCCGATAACAGAATGATGCTAGTTTTATCCGCAAGTCCGAAATCCAAGGTATAATATAACTAGCAAAGAAGTAGGATGAAGGAACAATAAATTAAATCAAAAATACAGTGTTTTCTTTAATATTTATTTCGGTCAATAAATACTTCAACCCTTATCATCCAGGACGTAGCTTAAATGCTTGCGAATTCATTAAAGAGGATTTGAATTTTAATCCTGCTTCGAAATGATATCGTTTATCTAAAATGCCCCCAAAGTCTACTCCGCATTATCCAATTGGCTTTTCAAATCCCGGGTTAATTATGATTTGCATCATAATTAATATATTACATTGAAACGTTTCCAACAATTAGTTTTACATGACTTTCTTAAAGCTACAATGTGTATTTTTTTAAAATAATTTTTCCAAACGCAATTCAAATTTACAGAATAACATTTGCAATTTAAACATTAAGATTCTGGAGAAATTCAGCATAAAATATAAATACACAGTAGGAATATAGAAATTATTATTCTACGTTATTGACTTAGTATAATTTTGACAAAGTAAAATGTTTATTTATAGAAGGAAGCTTCTTTTATTTTCAACAACATAAATACTTTGCTAACTATAGCTCTTTCCATTATTAAAATATGTGTGACAAAATTTATATAATTATTGTAAATCGGTCTCAATCATCTTATTACTATTAGTACTTATATTTTAATTATTTGTTTAAAGTATACAATTGATTGATATGTTTTTTTTCTTTTCATACTTTACATAATCATCATATTATCTCTATAATCTATTTTGTTCGCATTATTGTAGCTATTCACTTTTCGGAAGCAAAAGCCAATTGTTGAGTCATCAATGATTCGAATCCATAAAAAAGTATCGACTACTCACATATTAGTCATCGTCTTATGTCTCCCATAAGTCATTCCTTTTAAATACTTGCATTTTATTTTAATTATAGCTTCGAGTTTTTTTTAGGAAGAACATTACATCTAGAACACTTCAAATACAGTATAACACCGATTATCCGTGGTAATTCGGGAACGTTAATACACGGATAATTAAAAAACACGGTTAATACAAACATCGCTTCTATTTGCTTTAAAAACTTCATATCTATGTACAAAAGCATTGTTTAATGTTTTTATTGTAATATTAGTATTTCTTTAATTTTCCTTATATATTTTCTGCAGATTTGGTGAGACAATTTTATTATTTAGCTTATTAATAAGTAAACACTAAGACGGCCATGACCCGGTTGAGAGTCCAATTGTTTTAATGTACTATCAAATAGCTGGAAACTAGCGAATTTGAATTTGTTGAATAATATTTTTTTAACATCTTTTCATTATATTTAATTTAATTCATTTAATAAAATGTGCTTATTTCACATTATTCTCACATTGTTATCACATTTAGTAGATAATTCCATTAAAAATATTGCAAACTATATGTTAATAAAAATTATTGAAACAATATAGTAAAAATTTAACGACTACGAGTTCAAATCTAAATATGGAAGAGATGCAATGAACAAGACAATAGAAGCAAGGTTTTCCGGATGACGACGAAATTCTTTAATCCGATTACAAATCCGTCTGTGCATCATTGCAACTCGTAATGAAAACCTTGAATTCATTCAGAAATGGATGGAATGATGGCATATCAGGGTTAATTAAATTGATTGTAAAGATGCACCTGTATACAAAAATGAAGTTGTAAAAATCACATAATTAAACTTTGAATTAATTTTAAGAAACTTTACTTATAATAATGAGTCCAGTTTTCTAAAATTTGAATTGAATTGAAATTATATCATTGAATGTAAACGTGCATAGAAAATTAACTAGTACAGGTTACACAACTTTCATTAAATTTAATAAATTTGACTATGTATGAAATTATTGAAATAAAACAAACAATTAATAAATATTTATTTAGCTACGAATCAACCTTAAAATTAAACACATTTTTTAATTATTTTAAAGTCTATAAAGGATCTTAGTACATCAAAACCAAGAGATTATTTCTGTATCTAATAAAATTTGGCATCCAGCAATTAACTTGATCCTAAAAATAGATTGGAGATTCCTATGAGTATACGCTTTTTCTTGGAGAATTGCACGAAACATAATAGTTTTCAAGTAACGACTACTTTAAACTATATTTATATAATCAATAGCTCATCATCTCATGTATCGCGTTTTATTTCATAATAAGTTTATTTATGGTTAATTGTGTACTTGTATAACAGTTGCAATAAATATTTCAATTATAAATTGAGAGTTTTCAGTTTCAACTATCAAATAATATTAACAAATTTTTATTGCAACCATGTGTATATTAATATTAATGTGTAACAAGTTCACAAAGAGAATTACAAAACTATTTATTCATATTTCTCATAGATAACTGATATTTTCATATTAAATAATCAGATTTTTCTAATGATAGTAATGTTAAGTAATGTTCATTATTAATAATTTTATTATAATAATTGTATCTGTTTTTACATTTAATTTTTGGTTTGTCTGCATTTATTTCTGTAGTTACATATCAATAATACGTAAAAAGTTATAAAATACTGTTTGCATTATTATAATTCAATTATCATTAGATAAACGCGACGACAACATTTCTATTTTCTGAAAGTCCACAATTTATTTCAAGACATTTGGAATTTCCATGAGCCTCGAACGTCTTTATTTATTTTATCATCTCGCATATGTATCTTTTCGTTGGGAATCGTCGCGAACGCTTAGCATTCTTCGGCGAAGTTTTATGTGTGTATAGTAAGGATTGGAAAATCGGGAAGCAATAAATACAAATGAAGAAAATCCGGGTCATGAGTTTGCTGCGGGACATCCAACGTTACATTTTGATTTATAGGCCGACGAGGAACGGGCATAACCAATGATTTACTGTAGTCCACATAGATTCATTACATAACTCAGATTTTTATTTTTATTTATTCTTTTATATATCAACTAAAAAAAATAATAATATATTAAAGTAACAGGAACGAAAAAGAGAAACATGGTTAGTGCAGCTTCAGATCATAGTTTGAGGTTTGACTAAGCCAAGTGCACGAACGACAACAATTACAATTAAATATAGACGTTTACACGGTGGAATTCATGAATGGATTTCCGTGTAAAACTATGTTAATTTTAGCCAGCCTCGGCGAGTAAACGTTTGGCGGTCGGATCAACTTATTATCGGCCAGATTCAGATATTTCAGGTTCTTCAGAGGTTTGAAAGCCTTCTTGTAAATCGCGGTTAATTGATTTCCTTGGAGTGATAACACTCTAAGACCAGGCAATTCCATGAAGGATTCGTGGTAGAGCTGGTCGATCCAGTTGTTGTTGAGACTCAAGGTTTTCAGAGAGGATGATTCCAGGAAACGTTCATTTGCTGGCATCGTAATCCTGTTATCGTCCAACAGCAATTTATCCAAGTTCCTGTGCCTACTGATTATCATAGGGTGCACCTTTCCGATACGATTGTACGAGAGATCTATCAGCTCCAGATTCCTCATAGCTTTAGTGATGTAAAAGGGGATTTTCTTGAAGTTCAGATGATCCGCGTACAACGTCGTCGCGTTCTCGATGAAATGTATGTAAGCATGAACCAATTTCGGATTCGCGTCTGTTAACATGACGCATTGGACTTCGCGCGGCATCACGACTTTATCCATCTTCAACTCTATGGTGTTCCTCGAAGAGCAAGGCTGTCCAAACAGGAAACCCTGCTGGCTGTGCCTTGTCAACGCCAGTCTGAAACGGGAAGAGAACAACTGAATATATCTTTTGAAAACAAAAAAAATACAATCGATCCGCGCGCTTCCTGTTTATTCCGGGGACAAAAACTTTTCGTCCCATTCGCAACTAGGTTACTCGACCGCAAGAAAAACAACGATGAAAAGAAAAATAAGGACACGGAAGGAATACAAAAAAGTATCTATATTTATAGATCACTCGAGGAAGTAGTTTCTTCGTTCAAGTTCAAATCTGTTTACACGTTATCCCTATATAATTTGTTTATTTATTTCGGGTTTTTTTTTTCTAAACCGACGTGACGCACTTGCTTAATCCAAATATTTTAAAATTCCTTTTCTATTTCAACGCGCTGATTAATCAAAAAACCGCGACGCATTTAACAACATAATCGTTCCAAATCGTTCTATTTGCATGACTGATCTTCATTAAACGTCGTAATATTTATTGTTAGTAAATGATAATCTCAATTATGTAATCAAATACACAACAAAATTGAAAAATATCCTTAATGTATAGGAAATAACAAATCAGTTATTTAATAACAACTTTTTTACTAAATAACTCATTAAATTTAATTAATATAATAATTTATATAACTTGTTTCTTATTTTAATTTCTTCATCAAAATATAATAGGAAAATGTTTTAAATTAATGATAATCATACCAAAAAAGTTTTCTCGTGAAATATTCTATGTAAATATTATACTGATAATATATAACAAACATTGCTTGTGTTTGCAAGATAAACCTTTATTGACTCACGAATGTCTTTTTTACCTTTCAATTTCTTTCAAAAGATAGTAAAAAAACGTTATTTTGTTAACTACATTAATAAAAATCTTATCATAACAAATTTGATAAACGTTTCCAGAAAGCGTACATTAATGATTCACTCAAAGATCTTTCAGATTTTGTATACAACATTTTTAAAATTAAATTCTCAGAGAATAAACAATTTTTTTTTTCAAATCAAAGAAGTAGCGTATTTATTTACCTACAGATTATATATACTTCCTTTGCTTCATGTTAATATAAATTTTTATAAAATTAGATTTCTAAAAAACAATAATTTTTAATTTCAACGATTTTTTTATTAAATTTTATTAAAAATCAATTATTATTTATTGAAGATAATCGTTTTTGGTTATTATTATTATTTTTATGTATGTAAATCTGAAGTGATTTTTTTAAATTAGGTTAATAGACTGCAAGAGTATAATTGAAAATATTCTAAATTCGTCGAATTGATTCAGAATAAAGAAATGAAACGTAACTTCTGGAATGCATCCAAAAGTATTTAAGCATTCCTATAATAAGAATGTAGGGCCAATATTATTTAATATTTTATGTAATATTTCATAAAAAGATTTTAATATATATAAAGTATGAAAGTATAATTATATTAGTTGTTTTATTATATTTGATGAATTGTCAGTTTAAATTTTAAAATGTTTGAAACTTTTAAACGATACTAAAATCAACTAATTTGTGATTAGTTTATGATGTTAATATGAAATAATATTAGTCTTTCATGTTATTGATATTTTTAATAGAATAAATTTTAAATGGAGTAAAATATATAATATTGTATTCTAATGATCAAATGTTTGTTATCTCATTATTTTTATTGATTGATTTTGTAATTGAATTATTTGATAAAATTATCAGGTAATTGATAGAACGATTTTTTTTTCGTAATAGTTTGAAAAGAAAATTTGCCAAAACATTTATTTGTTAGGAATCAATATAAAGATTTACTTACATTATGAGGCAATGAAGTAGCTTGGAGCGAAACATATTTGTAGGTGCACCTTAGTCTTAGAATCAGCGAAAATCAAGTGAGTAGCAAAGCAAACAGAAGTGAGGCACTTTGAGTATGTCCGCGCAAAATCAGAACAAACGTGCGTGCATTACAGCCTATATACAGGCTAAAATTCGCCAGACTTACAGATATGCACTATATATATGTGCTTGAGTAATGCGACTTAGTAATGATGTCGCAATTCGCAAAACCATGCAAGGGCATTTCGTCAAACGGAAAACCGCACTTAATTACATTGCGGTTGAGTTTCACCCTTTTTTCATTCTGCACAAATTGTTTAGTTTTGCAAACGCAATCAGCCGATTTAGTTTAACATCGTTAATTCGATGTCCTTGTTGCAGGATACTCGGCAGCAGCCCTTCTAGCCATACTCTTCGCATTACCATTCGCATGGAGAGTCCTGATTCACAAAGAATCCGGACGTTGGGAGAGCAGCGTCCTCGCATTTTACCATGCCCATCTTGAGCTGTTCCTCGGCAACGGATGTCTAGGTGTGGGTGTTCTAATGCTTCTGGCCTTGACCTTAGAGAGGTACGTCAGCGTGTGCCACCCGGGTCATGCCAGACCGATTTTGGGACCGCCGCGAAGAGCGGTCCTCCTGATTCCTGCAGCCACGTTCCTTCTTTATCTGCCGGCCGCTTTTCGGAGCGAAGTCAACACTTGCCGCCTCTATCCCGGAGGACCTCTAATCTTCAGACGACAGGAGGTTACGGCCGTCGCCGGGCATCCCCTTTACGGCATTTATACTATACTCCTCGAGATGGTCTTCAAAGTTGTACCAACAATTCTACTTGCAGCTCTCAACTTGCGTATTTTATTGGTAAGCATTCCACAACATTACCCATTTCCTAAAACAACAGTAATATTATGAATTAAAAAATCATAAACAAAACTATACTATCTTCCAAATCTAGACTTTAGAACTTTGTGTACTTTAAAGAAACTTCGTATTTCGAGCTCAGTGAATCAATTATTATTTTGCGAATATTCATTCACACAGATATTAACACTTAAATATTAAAATAATTCTGGAAAATTCGCTTAAAACGCTTTTTTTGGCTTTCGGCCACTTCTAAATAATCAAACACTTATATGTATTTACAGTTTAGTCTTCTGCTTTAAATCGCCTATTACTTATGAAAATAATTGAATCATAGTTATTTTAGAATCTGAGCAAATCATTTTTTTTTATAAATATTTAATTTTTAATATTATAAAGTTGTATTAATAGTTATATACTAAAGATAATGAAGTATGAAAATTTAGAAACAAACAAATTGATTTATTAATGAATATAATCATTTTTATGTTTTGTAGGTATATAGAAGATCCTGTGAACGCAGGAGAAGGATGACTCTCAGTCGCACCGCATCCGGAGATGAAGATCCAAGAAAGTTTGCCGAAGAACGTAGATTGGTCCTGCTCCTCGGTTCCACCAGCATCCTATTCCTCGTCTGCGTATCTCCGATGGTCATCCTGAACGTAACCATAACCGAAGACAACTTGGCCAGATACCCGTACCAGGTGTTCCGCGCCTTGGCAAACCTCCTAGAAGTCACCAACTACTCGATCACCTTCTACATATACTGCCTCTTCTCCGAGGACTTCCGCAATACCCTCCTTCGCACCCTCCACTGGTCCAACAGTCCACCCGCAAGAGGCATGATGAAGGCACCTCCACCAACCGCCACCACGACAATAACGCATCCGCGGAGCGTCTGATACAAGACGGCGGGGTTGAGGAACGCCACCCCAGTTTGATGATCAAAAAGAAAATAAACCAACCAATTCTCAAGCGCTTTGCAAAACGTAAATCGTTCGCTCAGAATTACAGACTGGAACCCCGCCCGATCGACACCAACAAAAAATGGAAAATTTAAATATAACGGAAAAACGCAATGGACTTATGCAACTCTTCTCAATTATTCACACACCTTAATACTATATATATACATATAACTTTTTATATAACGATCTTACTCTCAACTTTTTCAACACACTTCGTTAGTTAGGGTAACCGAACAAATAACAACATTAGGTTTAAGATTAAATTTGATATCGGGACGATCTTTGCATGAAGTATTCATTACTTATCCATAAGTGTGTAGTGAATGCTGCAGGAAATCAAAGCGATTTAGAATTCCGAGCAGGTATAGTTTGGGGGGTCGTCCCAATCTAATCGTTGGTGTTATATAATAAACAGAAAAGACTTGGAAGTTATTGATTCACGTTGATTGATTCCCGAAACGCTTACACATTTATCTGATTGGGAATACACGTTCGCTCATAGCGCATTTACGAATAAGTAAGATAAACCCAGTAATCTGTAAATATGAGTTCTAGTTTAAGCATTTATATATATACAAACATATATACGGAATTTTGTATTATATATTATTATGAATGGAGGATCGAAATTAATGGAATGGAATCGCTTCGTATAGACTAATTTATTTATATTATGCAATTAGATATTATCAAATATTACTGTTAGCGTTAAGTTTAGTTTTATAATTATTTTATAAGCAACAAAAAAGTCAATGGCATTATTTGATCAACCATTTCGGTTTTCAAGCTGTTTAATTCAAATTATTTATACAGAGTGTTCAATTCAAATAAAAATTTGTTTAGGGACCTCAAGTACTAAAACTAACTAGTGACTAGGGCCCACGACTTTCTTAATGGGGCCCTCCGAGAAGCAAACCCCCTTGATCATTATTTACTCTTGTTTAGATCTCTAAGAATTTCACTATTTCAAAACAATGGGGACCTCAGATAAAAAATTTGCTATGTAACATCAAATGTGTCCAAGTACTCAAAATTTTGCTTAGGCCTTATGAAGCTACACCTCACTGGATAAAAAAAACCCAAATAATATCTACTCGAATCTTCATCGAAATAGACGCACCGAATTGAACAACAATAGATAATTAAACACTCTGTATAAATTCAAAATTATTTTCAATTATCGATGAAATCACTGTCAAAACAATCATTGGCATATAAATAGAAAATTTAATGATAGATGGGATCGTGCAGCGATTGTAATAGTAAATAATTTCCTCTAAAATTCAATTAAATTTTCTAATTTTTATATCTAATCTCATTAGTTTATGAAATTTGCAAGTACTTTGTGCATTCTCAAGTAATTTTAAGCTTAAACTTTGTTAAACTATAATTAATGAGATCTTTTATATAGTTGCATGCTGTTTCTTTTTTATTTTTGGCCTTTTTCTAATAGGTTGATGAGAATTATTTTTTTACGAAAATCAAGATATAAAAAAAAAATATGTATTTATGTAATATTTTTGTTAAAAGATTTTTGCGTAAATTTAAAAGTAAGTCTGTGATATGTGACGGAGAGGGCGGAATGTATTGTGAATGGAGCAGGAAATATTACCGCGAATGTAGAGCGGATGGATTTGGAAGTAAATCAATTATTATTGTACGTACGTGAATTACAAACTGATTATTATTATTCTACAATAATGTAAACAACCACACTGCCTGTTGGAGCTGCATTTATATATATATATGTATAAATATACGGAAAAGGTCCGATGCGACATGTAAAACCTAGTTGTAATTTGTATACTTGTTATAATATATATGATGGTGTATGCGTTGTGTCGAACGGCGCAATGCGATTATTCATTTTATATGTGGAAAAAATGTAACTGAATCTATATGATATATATATATATGTATTGTACAATCTATATACAAGATTAATAAAGTAAATGTCTTAACCAATGATTTTCTAATTATTTTTTTTGTAGAGGAGAGGAAACCTTACATAGGGACCACGGGTGGAGTCGTGGTACTGTGGGATTCTTACCGCACTAAAACCTCTCCTCTTCTTCACCAGCAAACAGGACCTGTATCACTATATTACTCTGCAGCCTCCGCTCGTCTTCTTCATTGCTTAGTAGCACTTCTGATATGTACGCCGCTACAATATTCCAGCTGTCCACACTCTTCAGCATTTCACTGATAACATTTTCTGGCTCTAGCAGAACTCCCAATTCTGCCTCCGCCTCGTGCTTCCTTTCAACCCATCTGCAGGACCTAAATAGCGTGTGCTCAGGGCTATCGTCCTCCTCACAGTACCAACACCTTTCATCCTCCTTCTTCACGAAGAAGTGCAGATACTTGCCAAAGCATCCATGGGCAGACAGCGCCTGGCTCAGGTGAAATGTTGTTTCACCGTGCTTTCTGCTTAAACAACGCTTCTTTCTCCGACTTGTGCCATTTATCTTGCAGCAGTCTGGCTCTAGTATCCGCTTTGGTTGAGCCCCTCTGCCTCTCACCTCTCTCCAGATCAAGAAGCTCTATTGGTGGCACACCAGCTATTACCTGCACTGCGTCTTGGGAAAGTGTCCTATACGCGCTGCATATCCTAATTGCTCCTCTCCTTTGGACCGTTTCTAGCGCTTTCCTATAGCTTAGAACTGTCATTGCTTGTTCTCATATAGGAGCAGCGTACAGCATAATAGATTGTGCCACTACTCCTAGTAATCTTCTATGCTGCTAGACTTTGGTCCACCCTTGTTGTGCATCAACCTGCTTTCAGCTGCAATTGTTTCTGTTACTCGAATGGCTACTGCCCTGATCTGCTCGGCGTAGGTCAGGCTAATCTATTTTTTCGTGTTCCCGTCCTATCTTATAATTTAATATAGCACAAGATTAGGTAAGTAAGATTATAAAGTTCACATAAAATGTTGACAAAATTAGAATATTTAACCCGTAAGTACTACGGAAGGGTCAGAATGACCCATCTGATATTTGTTTTCATTTGCTGTCAATTGTAATTTCATTTCGGGGATTGTCCTAGCTAACTATTATAGTATTTTCTTGTACCATTTTCACTAGGAGCAAAGCAGTTACGTCGAGAGTTTCTTAATTTATAGTAGATTTCATACTTTCTTGAAATATCATCTGTTGTGGTTCCTCCACTCTATAATAGAGTGGAGGTGTGCACTTAGCTCACACCTCACAGTGTATGTAGCCAGTCAATGTCTAGTATAAACTAAAAGAGATGAAGAGATAAAAAGATGAATAAACTATTAAAGACTATTACACAGAATCACCCTGCTAATTTATAAATTTACAGTAAATATTATATATAATAAAAAATAACAAAAAATAATTCAACATTTATACAAACTCTTCACGAGCAGGAACCTATCAGCTCTTATCACAGTGTGGGAAGGCCTCGGATCGGTAAATAAAAAGTGTTAGAACAGATTAAAAAGCGGTAACAAAGACAACAGAATAAATACATATATAATAAATATTCAAACAACACATCCAGAGTTTTTGATAAAATTTAAGATCAGTCTATAAATCTTGATATCCTTCATCCTTAACAGGACGTCTATTGATGTTGGAAGGTAAACTTTGTCAGTGATGAGCACTTTCAACTTATGATTCACATTCAAAAAAAATGCGGTTAGTGGTGGATATCATTCCACAGTCACAGTGCGGTGAATCCAGCAAATTCATCCTAAAAAGATGAGCTGCAGATCTGTTATGGCCCGTTCGTAATCTGCACAGAGCTGATATTTTAGATTTCTTGGTTAACTTTAACTCTTGAAACCATGGTATCATTCCCACTCTCGGATTTCCTCATTCGTCAACGCATCCGCCCTTTCGTTCCCAGGGATCCCAGCATGTCCCGGTATCCAGCACAGCGAGACCTTTGACCCAATACTTTCCAAGAGACACAACCTGTCCTTGATTTGGAGAACAATATAATTTATTTTGGCTGAATATTGCGAGGATTGGATAGCGTCTAACGCACTTTTAGAGTCAGAAAAAATCACACTCTTGAAATATCATCAATATTTGGTTTTCAAATTTGAATAACGTTGGTTTCTCGTGTACCAAAACTGGTAAAATCAGTAATTCTGATATTCAGTATGTAACACTAATACTGTGAGTGAAAATATCAAAAAACCTAATATCATACATTTCAAATTATGAAAATAAAGTAGTTTATTAAATATATCTGGTGCTAATATTTAATATTTAATGAAGGGGTCATTTTGACCCATAGATTTTTTTTTAATAAATTAATATTTTTAATTATGTACGCGTTATAGTAGATGGCGCTTATATTCATTCATCAGCGCCATATCACTCGAAGTATAAACTTGGGAGTAGTAATGTAAGATGGCTATTGTTTATTGATTAATATAACCTCTGTGCAATTCTAGATAATTTATATAAATATAATGGAAAGAAGAAAACAAAATAATGTTGGTGCTTGCTCTACTCTAGTCACTCTAGTGGATAGCATCAGAGCAGAAGAAGATGATAAGGTTCCAATCAAGATGAAAAAGTTTGTTACTAAATGTCCAAAGATTCTGTTCATTGAGCCTTTCTATGGAGGATCGCATAAACAATTAATAGATTTATTATTGAATAGTAATTGTAACTATTATTACTTATATTATATAGCTTATTTTGTAATTTTAGATACTTCTCACACTTTCATTAGTTGCACAGCAAAGAAATGGCCATGGCGAGCCAGATGCAGTGGCTTAATATGTTCCCAGCTAATCCCTGAGTTAACAACAGAAGAAATTTTATTCTGCAGCTCTGTTCTCAACTTACCAGAACTTTTAGGACTCAGACCGGATTTGAATAAATTGAAGAAAATCGTTTATTTCCATGAAAATCAATTCATCTTTCCCATAAGACAAATCAAGGGTAGAGACATACAATTTGCTTACAACCAAATAACCACATGGTAGTATTATTCGAATTAAACATAAAACAATTATCAGAAAATAACTGTTTCTAGTTTAGCTGCTGATCAAGTAATTTTCAACTCTAATTTCAACAAGGACAGCTTCCTGGGAAATTTGAAGAAAATCATTAAAATGTTACCAGATTATAGACCCAAAAATCTTCTGGACAAGATATCACCCAAATGCATGGTATTGTATTTTCCAGTCAGTTTTCCAGAATTACCATCGGAGAAACAACTGGATGAAAATGAGCTTCATATAGTTTGGCCTCACAGATGGGAGTTTGATAAAGATCCTGAGCTATTTCTGGAAACATTGATGGAGCTAAAGAAGGACAAGTACTCTTTCAAAGTTCACATTTTGGGTGAAAATTTTGAGGATGTTTCAGCAACGTTCGGCATAGCCAAAGAAATATTAAAGGCTAATATCTTAACTTTTGGTTTTGTGCAGAGCAAGAAGGAATATTACGATATTTTGAACAGTAGTCATGTTGCAATTTCAACTGCTATACATGAATTCTTTGGAGTTTCCATGTAATTACTTTAATCATTAACTTTTGTTTATATATTTATTACTTATTATTTTTAGGATGGAATCTTACTATTGTGGTTGCTTTCCACTTGTACCAAATGATTTAGTATACCCTGAGATTTATCCAAAAGAATGCCTGTATAAAGATCCTGCTGATTTATTGAAGAAACTAAGGAAATATTGCAAGAATCCAAAGGATGCAATTAAGGCTAGGAGTAAATTAAAAATTGATGTGCAGCAATATTCTGGTGATACACTATTACCAGAATATTTGAAGCTATTACATTTGAATTAAATTTATTTCATCTAAAAACTATTTACAATTTAATTGAAGCATACACACTTATAATAGTTCAGAACCTGTCATCTTAGCCTTATTCCAAGCCTCCTCTGATGTTTGTTTCTCTTGCACTGAAGGTTCCATAGGATTTCCATCTGCACTTAGTTTATTTTCAGTGTGATCTTTTTTAATTTTTGGTGCATAAACTACATCAAATAAGGTCTGTGCTGTGAGTTCCTCTTGATAGATTTCTGGTGCACGGTAGGAGACATACGGTTTCAATTTGAAGTCCTTCAAGTCTGGCACAATTAGTTCTGGGATCATCTCAGGTACTGTATAGAAGGTGCCATTTAGTGTGTATCCAACATCTCGAACACCTCTCTTGTCTATTGGCATCTCAGGGTCTGGATTCTCTGCTTGCATTTGCTTGAAGATTCTGGAACCCCTTTTGTTGTGCAACGAGAACTTCTTGAAATTTCTCTTTCCTTCACGTATCGAAGACGTGGAAATCGAACGTTTTATTATTAAATTAACATACGACATTTTTAAGCAGTCTTTGTGGTTATTTGCTTGAATATTTCTAGGTTATATTATTATTAAGAATTAATTCGGTTGATGCTCCATCTATTGAGAAAAATATATATATTATATTTTATCTTATATAATAAGTTGTCATATACAAACATAGATTTATTTTTTATTTATTTTGTTAATCTTTGCTATTTAACTAAATTGTAAAGTTAAAACACTTTCTTATGTTGTTTCAATTGTTTAATGGCTAAAAGGATGCTGCGTATTACATTAATCAAATGTTTTCATCGCAAAAAAATTCAATTGTATAATTTACAAATATGTAGACTGGAGGAGAAAAGAATATATTAAAAACTATGGAACTGGCGTCTCGCATAAATAATCGATACGCGAAGAACGTCAGTGGAATGCTGGAACTATTTTGTATACAATATAATTTATATAGAATTTTCTTTTCGCTTCGTTTAGTCCTTCGGTCGCCGAATAACAACGCAAGAACAAAGCCTATCACAGTGCAACAATATTTTGTAATTTTCAATGCATTCACTCAGAGGGGAAAAAAATCACAAATTTTCTAAAAAAAAAAAAAGAAGTAAAAACATGTCGTCCTAAAGAAAGCATTTACAACCTACGGCTTAAATAAAAAAAAAAACAAAATGATTATCGTGGTTACATGAAACTAAAGGAGAGTAATAAAATCAGACAATGAACTAATCGTACTCGTGACTGCTCTCCTTCTGATTTAACAACGAATCGCTTTCCTCTTCGGTCACCTCAGTTATCGTAGCGGTGTGCTTCAGTTTAGTTATCTCGTGGTGTTTCGAAATACTGAAAATTGAAGAATTTGAGCAAATGCAAATTGGCGTTGATGCGAAGCTTACATTAAATCCTCCTCCTCTTCGTCATCAGTTGGCACAGTGTTGTAGGGATTGTGAGCGGCCGGCCGGAACTTGTATCCGGTCATGACGAAGAAGACGTAGGTCGCCATCTCTCTGAACATCTCGTCCAACCAACCGTATTGGAACGGAACGGTAATCTTTAACAGGTACACTATAATCCGGGTGAAATAGATGTAGCACACGATCATTATGTAGAAGTGGCGGAAGAGCTTCAGCTTCCTCAGGACGATTTGGACTTTGCCGTCTGTTCTGGACGCTTCCTGCAGATGTCTGATGGACCAAACCACAGGGAACAAAATGCAACCGCAGCAAATCAGGTCTACGAATATCAGGACGTCTCTCCACATGTTGTGTTCCAAAGAACCTTCCTCGGATTCCTCCAGGATAATTTCAGCGACGTTCGCCAACACTTGCAGCGGGATTATAGCCATGAACAGACGCTTATCTCTTGGAGCCAAAACGTGCTTGATGAAGGTCCAACCGGTTCCAACCAGAACCAGCGTTATGAAGAGCAAAGCGCCTTTCAGCAAATGAGCAATGTAAAATAGGATAGCCCAAGTGGCCAAGTGCACACCCAAGGTTTCAATGAAATGGTAGTTGACGCCATGGAAACCCAGAGACAAAGCCTTCAAGAACACCAGCATCGCCATGAGGTAGTGCAACTTGAATATGGGATGTCTGGATTGTTTCAGCAAAAACACCCAGAAGCAACCGGACAAAAAGAACAGAACCGCCATGGTACAATACAAAGCAGGCAAAGGCATTTCACCAGCTGATAAATAACCACCTTCATTCTGCTCTCTTATATGCATCTGAAAACAAAAGATCAATAACGATACAACATCATCAATTAACTTACCGTAAAATCGTAGACCTTATGCGAATTACTATCATAATTTGGACAGCTATGAAAGTATAAATTATATAAACCTTCTTCCGATACACTAGCCACTGCTATAACGAACTAAAATAAATAATATTCAATTAAGATTCAATATATCTTCAACAAGTTTGTTCTTAAGTCATAAACTTACACTAGTATTGTAATAGGTAATTCCATCAACAACGCGTTTCGTGATGGGTAACTTTAACTTTGTACATTGATCTTGAGTATTCTGTTGTACAGTTGTTTGACGTTTCAGCCTCTTGAAGTTTTCTTCATCCAGTATATTATTATTGCTGACTGGCATATCTTTGGAATTTTTGTAGATGTGCAATGGATCTTTCCATTCTTGACTGCAATTAACCTTCATTCTGTAACAATAAATAACAAATCAAATCACAAATAATCTAGTTATATTAAAATGTATACTTACACACTGTTTTTAAGATCCATAGAAAAGTAGATTGCAGCAGAAAAGTGCTCATTTCTTGAAGAGAACATCTCTTGCAGAAGACACTTCTCAGTGTGTGTATCCAGATAAGGGTTCATTGCATCATTTAAGGTTCTATCTATACTAAACCCAAACTGCAGAAAGGCTTAAATATAATCTAATTCCATAAACAAAATGATAAAGTAATCTTACCAAATCTGAAGCATTTTCAGAAGAAGCCCTGAAATTTTCCAATTGCACTTCCAGCACTCCACCTTTGTAGAACCCAAATGTGCTCAGAGCTATGTATCGTCTCTCATCATTCTACAACACACAACAATTAAAATCATTGTTAATATAACAAATACATTACTATACTTACAGATATTTCTAGAGTATGTTTCCTGGAGGCGCAATATGGTATTAAAACCATAAGCAGTAAATATTTCGTGAAATTAGTCATTTTCGTTCGGTTTTTTTTCAGATAAGAAGGATCAAATTCATATGGGCGAAAGTTATGGTAGCCTTCGCATGGGATATTCACATAACTGTCGAGGTAATAATATAAAACTCATAAATAAGCAAAAAATATCATGATTTAGTTAAATAAATTTTGTTCACTTCGTTAAAGACAACTGTCAAATAAATGCTGGTATGACAGAAAATTCACCAATTTCAGTTTTCAATTTCACCAACTGAAAATTATAATTTCATTAAATTATTGTATAACTTACTTTAACAATGTATATTAATTGATTTAAATAATTGTAAAACTATTACTATTGTTTATATTAATATTATGAGTTTAAAGGTTGAAGTTGTCTCAAGGAAACAACAAGGAAAAAGTTGGAAATATTATGTTGTGGTAAGACGTTAGTCATCTACACCATAAACTGTCATTAATGTTTACAGCTAAGATCAGCTGATTTATGTTTTTAATCATAAAGAATAAAAAATCTTCCAGTTCAAAAGGCATGTATCTTGTTTTTCTTTTAAAATACATTCAAATATAGAAAGTAAATAGAAGTAGAAGGTTAAAGCAAGCTTTTGTTGCAGATGGCTGATGAAGTGAAGAAGGTTTTGCTGCAAATACTGAATAAAGTTACTGGCTTGTACTGTATCATAATCTCAGATAGGGATGGAGTGCCGATTTTGAAAGTGAGCAATGATAAAGCTCCAGAGATGAGGCCCAGCTTCATATCGACATTTGGTTTGGCCATTGATCAGGGCAGCAAATTGGGACTGGGGAAGACAAAAACATTGATCTGCTCATATGCACATTACCAAGTCGTTCAAATGAATAAACTGCCATTAATTGTTAGTTTTGTAGCTAGTGATACATGCAATACAGGACACGTTCTAGCATTGGAACAACAGATTGAACCTATATTAAATAAAATCAGGGTGGCTGTTGCAGAAACATAAACAATTTGTATATATATATATATAACTGTGTATCAATTATTTCTTATTTTTTTATTGATTAATTATAAAGTCAAAATTTATATTAAACATATATGTAAAAAAAAATAAAGCATTAATATGAAATGGAATTGGTTTATTCTCTGGTTAAGAGTATGGGAAAGTTTTCAGTGACCAAATGATCATCTTGGAAAACAACCACTATGTTTATTTCAAATTCTGAAAAGAAAACAATTAAAAATATCTTGTAAAAATGTTTAAAAAAAAAATATGTTTACCAATTTTAAAATTCAATTTAATCATGGTGGGACAAGTGAACAATCTTGGGAAGATCATGTAAATTGGTATCTCAATATTCTGAGGAATATCTCCATCACCAATTTGTATATTTTGAATTTCAGTAGCTAAAAAAAACTATAGTTAATTTCAACAATTCTTCAGAATTAATACCAGCTTCAAACCATCTCTTGAGTATCCTTCAGCGCATCCACAAGTCTCCACTCTGACCAATTGCAATTCAACAGATCTTATTGGCTTGGCACATTTCTCTAAAACAAGAAACCCAGTCAGAGGTTTTGCTACACTGCATCTGGTTGAATCCATTTTTCCTCTTATTAAAAAATCTGGAGCTGCTGAACTACCTACAATTATATAACATTACTAAACTTTCCTCAACACAATGTTTTCAAAGCTCACCAGAAGCTAAAGATTGTGGACTAATTTTAAAGGAGACAGGTCTAGGTAATTCTGTCTTCTGTTGCTTGTATTGCACCATAAACTGTTGAACTTTCTGCAGGTCTTTGGAAAGGAATGACCTTTTCATATCACATTTCAGACTGTAACTGATATTAATGAACACCCCATGATATGTCTCATACAGTTCCCTATTCTGCTTTGGCATCAGAGGCAACTCAAATGGTATTTCTGTTGTCCCACTGGGTAATTTACCTGAACTCACCACTTCACAAGACACATACACCAATTGTATAGGCTGCAAAGCAATGTACTTTTGATAACATACTATTATCATTGATGATATTTACTTTGACTGAGTTGTAGAAGGCCTCCAAGATCCCAACATTTTTTGAACTAAGCTGCAAATTAACTGAGCCTTCCATAGAAAGTGTAATTCCATCATGTTTTAAATCACTATTTGATTTAACTACTATAAACCCTGTAACCTTTTCCTATAAAAAGCAAAGGTAATTTGCTGATTGCAACTATATCAAAATACTTACTCCTTCTGTGTAAACTTTGTCTGCTTTTTTAAGTCTTATATCCAATGTAACTGACATCTTATTGCTATTAATTTCTCCTACTGAAAGTTGACTGTTGTTAACTTAATCATCTGTATATTTACAATTGCAATATATTTAGGTTAGTTGTATATTTGGTTGTCTATAGATTGACAGTAAAAACATTGAAAGTTTATTTGTACTTTAAATATGATAAAATTTATCAAATTGAAGAAAGTTCACAAGATTTATGCATAGTACAACAGAATCAATAAATAATGATGAAAAATAATTTATTTTCAATATGTTAGATTACAAAACAATGAATACAAATAAAAATGAGTTAGTTGTGTATTTAAAGACTAGATTAAAAATAAATAATAACGTTACAAGTTACATTTAAATGATTGTTTATACTCCTTATATTTTCAGAGTGCAATTAAATATTAGCTTATAAACCATGGATTAATGTCTCGTACTTAACAGAGATTTCATCATCCTCGAGCTCGAGGGAATCGATGAAGAGCCGAGCTCTCAAAACGTACGTCGTGTGAAATTGTTGTCCTAAGAAACAAAGTTAATGAATATTTTAATCATATTACAGCAGAAAGAATGAAACTCACGATCATCAGTTTTGAGGAACAACATAGAATGAACGTTATACTTTTCCTCGAGATTTCCGATTCCAACAGTCGGAAGCACGCTTTGATATTTTTGATCCTCTTCGTTAAAATGGATTAAAGGATTATTTGAGATGTTCCCCAGACAATCGAAAACCTTGGGTCTCAATCTCACATTAGTGGGGCACGTCTCAAAGTTCATTGCTTTGCAGAAAGCAGTAATCATTTGCAACCTAGTTCATAAATTAGATTTACGACATGGAAATAAATTGTAATAACAGCAACATACCTTTCTTTGAAAGGCAAGTCAACTATGATGGTATCTCCCAATCTTATTGCATCTATAACATGCAAGCTTTTTACTTCCTCTCTGGCGGTTCCCTTATCTAAACATTTTTCCATCACTACTTCTCCAAATAGAATAGTCCCCTTGATCAGCTTCAAGTTCTTTATTTTTAACCACACGTGATTGTGCAATTTAACAATTTTCCGATCCGCAGTTGCTGCAATTTAGATTGTTTAATAATGTGGAACATTGAGGATTGATCTCAAGGTAGAACACTCACCTACAAATATGCCGCATTTTCTCGATGAACGTGCACTGTATAATGGACAATAAGTCCAATCAGACTTATTTGCGCAAAGTTTAGCTAATTGTTCATCGTTTGATATGTCTTCAGACTTAACATGCAAAAACTCTGTAAGATTATTGTATTTAAAACACTTTCTATTTCCATTTTATTTGATAATACCTGTTTTGATTAGAGTTATGATCAACAAATCTTCCTTGGTTATCAATTCTTTGGGACTTCTGATTTTATCAGGTAGATTCCATTTCTTCAGGCATACAGTGCGCAGATCGTCCTGCCTCTCATCAAACAGATTCTGGTTCTTGCAGAACTCCGCTAGTTTAATCAGATTCGCAACCTGCTTTTTTCCTAATCTATTAACAGAACGTTAATAATCTAATAATCTAACATCAGTATTCAGTACTTATTGTTTCGATCGATGATGTATGTCTTGAAGTGTTCGTACTTCGCGATGACTTCAAAAGGCACCAAACTCACGAGATCCACGTTACTCACTTTACTTTCGCTCAGAGTCCACATTTCATGCACAATTAATCTCAAATAGTTGCGAACATCTCGTACAATACTGGACTCTTTCAGATTGCTACAAATTAGGTATCGCTCGGAGTTGGCGGGTCTCGACGTGCTCGGCTTGAATATAGCAACTAGAAATATGAAGATGCAATAGCATTAAAATATAGGTATGAGGAAAGTAAATACTCTTTTCGAAGCACTGGTACATCAGGAATATTAATCCGACACTGAATTCTGTGAAGGTATCGAATAGTTTCGTGACAAAGTGCCCATGAGGTCTTACTATTTCCAAAGCCACCAGACATTGGCACGCGTATATTTGTTTGGACAAGACTTCTTGCAATTCTTCGTTACCTTCCACGGAGAAACCCTGAATTAAAAAGCAATTAAAAACAAAAATACTTGATTTACTTTATACAAATATTCATTACTCCATCGGCCATCATAAAATGTACTCCTTTATTTTCAGTATCATGCATCACGTTCAAAGCGAAATCTTTAATGTTTTCAGGATTGCACACGTTCCCATCATTGGCTTTACCATAGTAACTCCTGAACGTTGATACTGAGCAACAAGTCGAATTGAATAATTTAAAATCGTGTTCTCCTTTCAACGTGAAACCGAATCCTTTGAAGCACCAATTCTTCCTCCAAAGTATATATTCGCTGAACCCTCCTGGACCAGCGCACACATCAGCGAAATAATGCGGACCATTAGACATATGATGAGGCTACAAGTAAAACGCATAAAAATCGTACTCAAGCCTTCAGTGGCAAGTGAATTACATTCTTGTCAACGCCCGAAAACATGAAATCCGTAGCGGCATCGATGTTGGCCATCTTCAAAGCGGCCCTGTTCATAAAGAATGCAGCTTTCAGCGTTTCAAACGGATTAGCTCTCGAACGGGCTTTGCACAGCTCTAAATTATTGAATGTTTGAAATACATCTTTCTGCAATAAGCAAACAATTACACATAATTTTCTGAAAAGTAAATCCTATCATACCTTTGCATTCAGCAGATTAATTAGCAATTCAGGTTCACTGAACTTTGTCTCATTTATAATAGTAGTCTTGGGCAAATCTTTTTGCAGCCAATTTCCCCTTTCCTTCAAATTAAAATCACTGCTTTCATTATTTATCAACCATTGTATTTCTTCGTCAAGCTCAATTCCCTTCAAATAAACAAAAATATAATTTAGATATGAAATTTAAACGAAAGTTTGTTGCAGTTACTTCATCGAATGAAGTCCATTTTTCTACAATATGTCTTGGCATCCCTAAACCCCTTTTGGATATTTGACGTGGACAATCAATGGGATTCAACATTCCTTGTTCCAACTTCCCCAAGCCGCAGCCTTCTTTGTAACCCATTCTTTTCTGTTCAAAACATGGATATAATATGTTAACTCCTTCATCCACTTTATATTTCTTATACAAACCATCATTTCCATTGCTTTTCCCATGACAGGAATGTTCTGCTCTGAATCGCCAGTGTCCATCTCTTCACTATCCTCCATCCTAAGGACTTGTAGAAACTTGTTCAAACCTGTTGTTTAGTTTTCATTGACATTGATAATGTAAACACATGCAAATAACAGAAAATAATCTGTTTGAGGTTAGCGTCAATTTGACATGAACATGTTTGTACAATTATCAGAATACTATTTACTTAAAAAATCAATTACGAAAATAAGATTTAAGCTAATGTTAATACAAATATTGTAAATTTAAGATTTAATTTCTTTTACATAATCTACTCGAAAATAATCTTTAATGTGTACGTTTAGTAGCCTAAATTGAAAAGAAGTAGCAGTAACTTCGAAGGATTTCTTCATTTAAAATACCAGATGATATATTATTTATTTATTGATACCATATTAATATAAGCTTAGCTTATTTAGAACACATCTTATTACATTTTTTATCATGAGGCCCATAATGACAGAGTTTATCACAAGAATGACCACAAGACATGACCTCATGACATCTTTCTTCGCATCCTTTTATTCGCTGTTGAATATCAACCACATATTTTACCTTCTTTCTGTTGCCGTGCTTTTTACAAATCAACTCAAGATCCGTACCAACGGCCCTCATTTGCGATAACGTGCTATGTATTTTCCTCCAAAGCTAAGAACAAAAGTAAAGATTAAATATGATTTAACGTTTTGAAATGATTATCTTACAGGACTTTTATCTGAGAGAAGTTTCATGTTTCCCATGATATATAAACCTTGTTTCGCGCGCGACATCGCTACGCAAATCCTATTTTCCTGGTTTAAAAAGCCTATGTTACCTTCCTGGTTGTTTCTAACTAAAGATAGGAGAATGATTTGATTCTCTTCACCTTGGAAGTTGTCCAGACAGGTGATACGAGTATCTTTGATCTCAACATATTTTCTCTTTTCGTTACCGATGACTTGCATCTGCTTCTGATAAGTGCTGAGAATAGTAATATCCTTAGCTAAATATCCATTTGCAACTAGGTATCTTGCAAAAGCTATCAAGAACGATGCTTCGTAAGGATTCTCTTTGCTGCTATCAATCGATTTCCTTTCCAAATGATTGTGCGAGAGGAAGAACACGGACTTTGCGACTCCAACCACTTCCGGATACCTTTCGACTTTAGCACTATTTTGCAAATCTGGATATATTAAGGGACAGATCAAGGACGCTATTTCTGGACGCATTCGGTATTGAACATTCATGCATTGGAACGGAACATTGTTCTTAATCATCCTTTCGAAGAGGCTCACGCCCAACTTGAAATCTTTATCTATTTTATAATCTGCAGTGCTCGGCTTTAGCTGCTTATGATCGCCTAAAATATATCGTTTATTCGATAAATATTAGTTTTAGTTTAAAATTATTACCGAGCAAAATCAGATGTTGGCAGTTGCTCGATAGAGCCGATATGATATGAGCTTCCAAAACTTCAGCAGCTTCCTCGACTACAACGATAGGACATTGCAATATTTCAAGAGTCTTCTGACGACGAGCCGCAGCTGTTGTTGTCATCCCGATGACAAGCTTTTGCTTCATTACAGAGGTGTCTATAATCTCGCTAAAATCATCGTATTCTCTGGCCCAAACTGCAAAATCTGCCTCGAGCAAATGGATTTGTTCATCCAAACACTCTTCGTACTTCTTCACCCAATAGTTGTACAACTGCCAGCGCTGTTTTCCGGTCATCACAAATGCCCTATCCAAATCAAAGTATCGCATCTCGGGGTTAGCTTTTATCGAAGGTAATGAATTCAATAGGAACTGCAAATTTAATAATATGCGTTACAATAATAAAGATACAATTATCTTAAACGCTTACCAATAGACATTTGTATGTTTTCAATGAACTGTACAACTTTTCGCAATCCTTAGTAAACTTATGTTGATTGCCAATCATATCGTTGAGCGATCTTATTTTGAGGCAAATATCTTGAAGGCTTACCACGTTTGGATTTTGCTCGTTGTACATGTTCTTCTTGCCCGGTGCAAAATCATCCGCATACTTTAGTTCATCGTCCGACTCTTGCGGATTGTATGCACGATTGCTCGGCTCGAATTGCTGCAAGACATCATCGATCACGCTTTCATTCCATATGATTTCACCGTACATCGATTCAATATCTCCCATTAACCAATCGATAATATCATCTTCATCTTCGGCGTTCCTGAACCAGCTATGCTTGAACCTCGAGTGGAATTGTTCGAAGCACGAGAAACGGACGATGCAAGTACCTTTAGAAATCATGTATTTCGTAGAATACAACATGTTCAGTTCATCTCGAATCTCGTTCACTCTATCGATTTGCTTCCTCTTTTTGTAATCCACGTTATACTTCCTCTTTAGCTGCTTCATATTGTAGTCTATCAACTTATCGCTTTTGGATTGCTCGCCGATTCGCAATATTTGATCCGTGAACTCCAAAATTCCTTCTAGGAACTGATCCAATGCTTGGTTAGTATACGAAACGACGAGTATCGGTCCACTCGACTTCCAGTTATCTCTGTTCTGTATCAGAGTTTGTATTATCTTCAGACCTACGAAGGTTTTACCAGTGCCCGGCGGTCCTTGGATGACGCTGAATTTATTGGTAAGCGCATATTTAAATGCTTTCAATTGAGTATCGTCTAATTCAGTCTCTATCATGGGCCAATCTTTGTTGCATATAGTTACTCTTTTACCAGCGATATTATAAATAGTGGACGGCTTCAAATAGTCCGGATATTCCTGAGTAAAGTTAACATCAACTAAATACTTCTTCAAAGGAAACTCGGTTAATTTAAAGGCTTTCAGTGTCTTCAGCACATGGTAGTATGGCTCAAAGTAGGCATGAGAAAGAACCATAGTGTAAATGCCCTCAAAATCGATATTAAGTTCTTCCTCAAACAGCACAACAACTTCAGTGAAATGCTTATATTGTAATTTAGTATCAATAACTTTTCCAAAGAATAATTTATCTAGTGAAGTAGAAGTGAACCCAACAAGAGATCCATACTTCAATTTATCATTGCCCCTTCTTTTTGGGACATGGACTAAATACCCCAGCAAAGCCCTAGAGGCTTCCTTGTGAAGGAATTTTACTTCTCTAAAAACATCTATATGAGAACTACCTACAAAATAATTGAATTGTACAAAATTACATATAAATTCCAAATGTGTATACCATTATAATCATAATCACAGATACCCATCCTGATTGGGTTAACAAAATCTTCCCTCATTAATCTAAACTGAACATCTATATAATGATTAACATCATTATAACTTCCTTTAATTATGTTTTCCCTGATGAAAGGTATATAATCACTCAAAAGTTCATCACTTGTGGGATAAATACCAATTTCTAGAATACTGTTTGGAGATTCTACACTGTCATTGAATAGAAGTAAATCCTTTAAGCTATCTAATTTTAATCTCAATGCTTCAATATCTGCATCAGAGATTTTTGACACACTTTTACTACCTTCAATGCCATCAATCAAAGAGGGTACAATTCTTTGAGAATGATTCGGAAAATAGTCAATAACATTATTGACACACACTAATAAATTTTTCCAAAATTCCTCTGGCTTATCTTTAAATACCTTAGAGTATTTGGATTCTTGATTATAACAAAGGTATGACTTATTCAAGAAACTTTCTAAACTACATATGAAGATCTCATTTATAAATAGGGTGTAGAGACTCAACTTTTTCTCTGAGAATTTGGACTCAGAGATGGTTGCAAACGTATTCACAATAATCACAATGAATTCTGGTGTTAGCTGACTTTCCATACAAGATTTCAGAGCTGCTCTCTCATTAGATAAATCAAGTATAACATCTTCTGCTGACTTCTTCGATATTATCTCCAGCTGCTTGAATCCCATTTTCTTCTCTTTTGTTGAATCTGGAGACCTGGTTCTATCATTGTGCAAAGTGAAACAGTTTTCCGGTTTTTCTATATTGCTATTGACATCACTTGATGGTTTCTGTGTGAACCAATCCATTATTTACTATTAAATCACTTACACAACAAATTTCGACAAACAACTGCAATAATTCACTTAAAAAGTTGAATTTTAAGATAAAATTGGTGCTTACTTTTACTAACAAAAAAAATACTACAATATTAAGATAAATCATAAACATATGGGTTATTTTTTCTATTGTTATGTGACTTTATTTGTACTCTTGACATATTTTTGCCTACCTACAATTTAAAATTAAGCAACCTTCGATACGTTCTTCGGTAATTTTTACACAACTTCTTATGCATACCGACTGCTGCAATAGTTGTATACATATTTATGCTGCGGAGTTGGCTTAATGGCCGATTTAACGGTCTGTTAAATAAATCTAGTAATCAGCTAACAAGACGTTTTCGATTGAAACTTTTTATTTACCTGCCAATTACTGTTGATAAGTGTATTTTATATGTAAATATAATGGATAAAGGTAAAAGAAACCGTACTCGTAATTACAGTGAACGAGAAAAGTGTCTTTTGCTTGCACTGGTCAAAGAGTAAGTTCTACAAAATTACTTATACTTACTTACAAATATGTGCAACTTTACTTAGATATAAGAATGTTCTTTACAGCAAACAATTAATAAATTTAATTAATACCCAAACTATTCCTATATTGTTCATCTAGATTTTCTCATATTATTGATAATAAAGCAACAGATGCATCCACTGTCCGCTTGAAGAACCAAACTTGGTTGCAAATAACAGATAAGTATAATGTAGAAGCTGATTCGGGTGAGCGCAGAGTAGATCAACTTAAGACACTGTATGATAATTTGAAGAGAAAAGCCCGGAAAGGAATTGGTTTTGAAAATGTAAGTCAACACTGTAAAATTGTTGGTACTTGAATAGAATTAAATTGCATTATAGACAGAGATGTATACATCTAATATGGATCACCCACAAATTGTCAGGATACAAGCAGCTCTGGATGAAGTAACAGAAGATAATAATTATGTTGCATCAACAAATAATTATACATTTTTCAGAAAGAACTTAGAGAAAATTCTAAGGTGGATCTGCTTCCAGAGTCTGATGGACAAAGGTTGACATTTTTAAATGAGCAATTTTCAACACTAACAAATTCCTATGAGGATAAAATGTTTCACAGAAGGAGAAAGAACTGCAGTAGGAGAATAGAGAACAGTGAGCATTTGAAAAGGTTGTATTTCAGAAAGAAATTGCAGATTGCGCAACTGGAATATATTTCTAAAAGGAAACTACATTTGCTGGATGTGCAGATAAAGAGATTGGAAATAGATATCTTAAGAAAGAGAAGCGCTATCCTAGATTTATAATGTGTTGTTAAGTTGAAGTGAGTTATGTTGTTTGTTTTCTGTTAGCAATAATAAATTTTATCAAAATTTATTATTCCAAATATGTTCAAAAGTAATTGACTGTGAAATTTACATTCTCTAAATTATATTGCTCGTTTTTATTATTATTATTTCTTTTGTAATAATGAAATTAAAAAAATTGTTCTGATATATTCTGTTATTTCATACGAGTATGGAAATTGCAAATAGTAATTTTAAGGTTTTTATATAATAATAAAAAAAAAGTAGAATTATTACTAATATAGTTTATTATAGCGCAGACGATACATTTTCTAAATGTAAATAGACATCATTAAAATGAATAGCAGAACGAAATACATATAAAAAAATAATATTAAAAGTAGACGTTTCGTAGTTGGAAAGCAGAAAATTACAGATCGGACTTGGGGCGAGTCTCGACCCACTCCTTGATGGCCGGGATGGAAAGCACGTTGTTCTTGACGGCTTCCAAGTTCTCGTATTTGGCTGTCAAATCGGACTCGGTCATGTAGTTGAGATAATCCAAAAGGGCCACGAAGTAAAAGTCAGCCCAAGTCAACTGGAAATTATTATATGATTAGTAACTTAAATATTTCATTAGTAGTGTGTAGTACTTTTCCGCAAGCTAAATGACCGTTGTTTTCCTTGGCGATCTTGTCCAAACGCTCCAAGTAGTATGGAAGGGTTTCGTTCATCAGCGGACCTTTGCGGCTCTCCTTGATGGCGGCATCTTGCTCGTAGGAGTAAACAGCGATTTCTGCAAAGATCAAACAAAAAAATTATAATCAATTGTATTAATTGTTAGTAGGAAACGTACTCTGTCTCAAATCGTTGACAGTGTCGACCATCGAGTCGATTTCCAGATCCTCCCACTCGTCGCTACCAACAAGTTTCACTTGCTTGGCGAAGAAACGGGCCATGGCGATGCTTTGGTGGTACTGCTTTCCCTTGGCGCTCAGCACTGGGACTTGACCGAAAGGCATAGCTGCAATACAAAAACATTAATTAGTAATGAAATCAATTGATAATTTGGAATCTGTATAACTCACTTGGTTTGATTTGTGGCCATTGCTCGCGCTCGAAACGCTCATCTTCGAATTCCAATCCACCGTACTTCAGCAAGAATCTAGTCGGCTCGGCCAAAGCCTTGACCGGGAAGTAAGTTAATTTGTAGACTGGAGCCATACCGGATGCCTCTGCAATTTGCAAACAAATTATTTAAACGACCATTCGTAGCCAATCCTGATGCGTTCACAACCCTCCAACGAGAAGATGTTCGTGGTTTTGTGGTTCCTCTTAATCGTGTACCCATCATAAACATCATCTGCCACTCCTTCATCTGACATTTTCATTTCATTTATTTTATGTTTCGGACGCAGCCTTCTCTCCTCTATTCACTCATATTTCATTCGTGTCCAATTACAAATAATAATTCTCATTCGTTAAGAAAACTTAAACGAAACGCATTTAAATAACGATGATGGAACAGACAGATCATCGAAGACATTACTTGTAATTAATGCAATTGGAACGATTTGTTTACCATTGGTGTGACTTAAAGCGAAACAAATTGCGGTATCACAATTGTTGCTTAGATAATTTAAGTTAGATTCAATTACACGCTGACTAAGCTTGTGTGATTCACGCTGTTATTGTATCGTACTTGTATTGTATTTCAATGCATGTTTATGTGGTAACACATTTCCAAATAGTTGGAAACTCTATTTGTTATTTATATAACATGTTTACAAAAATAAAAGTACAATTTTTTTTATAACATTTTGACAAAATTGTTATATTGTACTGTCGTGTCCCAAGGATGGAATTCTGGACACAGTGGAATATTGTCTGGTGTTGTTGTTGTGGAGTCTCTGTTGTAGGAATTAAGTAGTTCGTTTGGTTTACAACAAGTTTATTATAATAATTGGTACTCTTGGGGTCCTTTCCAAGACAATGAAGGTACATTAAAAGATTGACTAAGACTCTATCAGTCTGAAGGGTTTACTGAGACTAATTCTAAATAGTTATTCTACTTCCATAGTTAATTCTTATTAATACGGGGTGGGAATTGTGATCGGGAGTAGTGTTTGATTATATTGATGACTAAGCGTTCCTACGGGGATCGGCCTCGGTGGTTTTGTTTATTATAAGACCGGGACAAATTCCTATGCATTTGTTTATAGGAAAAAGATGATCGATTACGACTGTACATGTAATGATCATTATGTGTTTATAATAATGACTTGAATTCTGTATAAAGGTATAGGAGTATCAATGGGAATGTTAACGCTTGGTCCCCTTTGTTTATATTAAAGTGTATCGAATTGGAATCACGGTAGAGATTCCTTTATGCCAATGATTATATAATAATGCGAATAAGAGACACTTTGGATGTCTCTAGTTCGTTAATAAACTATACTAATAATAACAATTACAATAATAACGGTTGGACACAACAGTACTAATAAAGATATATTTGTTTAGTTCCAATAATAATTAGATAATTAACATTCTGGAAACTCTTATTGTATAATTATTCCACTTTATTCTATTTTTAGATTTTGAATTATAGACTACAATTTATAGTAGTCTTTATTTATTAGGTTTTTCTCTTAACCAGTCATTAAATTCAAGGTTCTATTTTATCTTTTGGGAACAATTTCTTACTCACTATTAAGTACAAAAATTATAATTCTTTAAAGAAAATATACGGTTTAGTACAACTAAAATAGATTATTTTACCAATTTATTACTTCAATGATGTATTGTGCTTTTCAACAATTATTGAACAATTTCTTACTCTCTATTAATATGTACACAAAAATTGAACTTTTTTTTTAGAGATTTTATAAACGTAACTATGCGGTAATGATTTGAAAATCTTTAGAAATATAAGATTCTATCAATTTAGTTTCATTATTTTAAAGAAAATTTTGCCACTTTTTATAGAAAATGTATATGATTAGTTGTAGGATTTGATAATCTTTAGTACTACTAAAATATGTGCCAATTATGTTGTTTCTTTTTAATTAGATTTTTGAAGCAATGAACAGAAACAATCGTTGCATGTGATAAATGAGAAAAAGTAATAAAATAAATCATTACTTTTATTAGCAAAATGAACGTGTATTGACTTAAAGTGAACTATTAACAACAATGTTTATCTATTTAAGATTAGATATCAAAACTAGGTGAGTGGGTATACACAATTGATTCGAGAACGTTTCCTTCATTAATGCATACACAATTTCAAGAGTTAGAGCAAATATTGTTGTCATAAGTTTCTTATCTTCCTTATTTTTTTTATGTATTCTAATATTTTTACAAATTGATAAGATTCATCTTTTTTCTCTTAAAATTTTCAGTCCGTGTCGGAATTCATCTTTTCGCTTTGTCACGTACGAGTGAGGGTCAGTGAGGGTATATATTCTGTTGATTCGTAGATGAGAATTTTGCCAGCGCGACGTTCTGGGAATCGAAGGCAGAAGCGAACGCGTCTTGCAGTTCATTGCCTCTTAAACCAATTGCAACATCAACGCAGATTAAATAATGACAGGCGATTCTTGTATACGAAAACAAATTAAATAATTACAAATTATGAAAAGATAATAATTCCAATATATATTTTTTTAATCGTTTTGGGTTAACTATAGTTAAGTATATTTGGATGTAATTGATCGCGTGACTTTAGCGTTCCCACGATAATGGGAATAGTTTATTATTAATAATTAAACAGGCAATTCAAGTACTGTAAATCATAGTTGTAAATCAAATTAGGATAATTGAATTGAAGGAATGTTGAAGCGCTTTTAGTTAATAATTATTTTGTTTTAGTCTACTTACGGGTTTTACTTTTTGAGTGAGACGAACGACCGCGTTTAGCAATAACTGCTTCGGACTGAACATCATTTTATACGTAGGTACCTTTATATATAGACGCATCGAGGTCAATTTGGAAGGGGCAAGGTCACATTGATGTGGATACGCCGGCCGGCCTTTTTATCTGCATTTTCTGGATCCCCATGTTTACTATTGTTTATTTCAATTCTACTGTATTATCTCAAATGCTAGCACTAAGATTAACAAATGAATAACACCTGCCTTTTTGTTGGTTACATAACGTCAGCTATTTCAGTGGTTGCAGGAAATTAACATTTTCTAACAGGATTTGAATGATCTTTAATAAGATTTAAGAAAACTTGTATCATTGAACTAATGATGATTTCTATTGAAATATTGTTTAGTAGATAAAGATAAAGCAAATGAAAATAGTATAGTTTATTCAGTTATAATATATTTATTATCAAAGTATATAATCATGTATTTATGAACATAAACAAGTAAAAATAATTCGAATGCACGTGCATCTGCTATTTAATAAATATATTTATATAAAAAATCATTAATGAATTAGATGAATCATCAACTCCTTTAGGCTGTAGGTCAGCGAAGCCGTACGAAGAATGAACGAAAATTTTCAACAAAATCTAGAAATGCGAGTGCCCGTTTCTCGAAGATTTCCTCCTGAAGCAAAATTTTTATAGTAGATGGCACACCAAGGAAGCAGTGCTTTTGGTATTGATGAACGAACTTAAGATTCGGCTGCGGTCAACGCCATCACCGTGAAGTTGACGTCGTCGGATTCCCTTTGGATGTAGTCTTTGCACACCTTGGCGGCATCCTACAAAATAATTGCATTAGGAATAGCAAATAAAAAATCATTGGATATAGTTAAAACCTCTAAGAGAGTATCAGGAGTTGTGGCCCCATGATTGATAGGAAACTCTTTTCTTCCATCCAGTTCATACAGAACACCGTCCTTGTGAACGAAAGTCACGAAGTGATGATTCACTTGCTCATTGGGATTCAACTGGAGCGTTAAAGATAATTAATATCTAATAATAAATATAATGTTAAATTGATTATTACTTCGGTTTGACCTTCTTTGGCTAACTCCTGATGCATGTTGGCGATATGCAAAGCATCGCGACCAACGGCAGCAGTTTGTAGTAAATTTCCCCTTTCAATGGGAGACAAATTCTTTGCGTCAGCAAACAATGATTTAACAATATCATTGCTTATATCCAATCTAAACATACAGGAGTAGTCAGTAAGCAAATTCGCATTTCATATAGAAATTAAATATGCATTACCTATCAATGTTGTTTCCAATGCTATGGATAAGTGCAATAGTGCCACAAGCATTGGAAATCAATTGCTTCATATAGAAAATATCAGGAGACACCTCTTGACCCTTCTGCTCAATTTCCTTCTGCTGAATAAGAGAATACTCATAGTACTGTAACAATAGATTAATCAATAATTGATTCTATGGTATTTGTCAGTCAGAGTGGCACCTTCTCACTGCATGGGAACAGTAAAATTACAGATAGCACAGGTCTGGGCACCCAGGCCAAAGCCTCTGAATCCAAGCCAAACACATCTATAAGTTTCCAGGCTGATGAAACACCCATCTTTTCCAAGAACTAAAATCAATCAATAACAAACAAATTATATTGTCAGCTAGTGAAATGCATTGATATTTCAATCTATATATCTACTAATGCTCATTTCATTGGGTTCATCAATTACTGTGGCTTCGAAATGGATATGTAGCATTGATATATTATATCTGTGATTGCTTACTTTGTTCATAACCTAGAAATTAAGAGAATTTCAGCAAATTTGCGGTTGGTAAACGGCAGATTTACTTACATCTGGATTGGATTCTAGGGGTAGCCAAACCATGGTGGTCGACGAAGAGTTTTCCTGCTGTGACGACGAAATCTTGACGATGATTTGCAAATAATGCTCTTGACAGATAGACAGCACCTGATTATCAGTGCAGAATGCAACAACGAATGAATGGATCGAATCGAAACAGTCCCCACTCTTTTCACAGAACAGACGTTCGATTTTTAAATGTCCGACGAATATACAGAGTGGCTCAACAAAACTATACCTACAATTTTAGCGAATGTAGATAATAGTGGGAACTAAGTTGCATAACTTTACTGTTATTTTTTAAATAATGAAAGAAGGATAAATATATCTTTTTCAGTGGTCCTTAGGTTTCAGAAATAGTGCCTTAAAAAATACGATTTCAGAAAGTATTAATCGAACGACAATAGAGAAATATTATATTTTAAATGCTCTATGAATTGAAATGTCGAATCATTGAATTATTAACAAAATTAAAATAAAATTTATTGAAACATTCTCGAATTACATGATGTCACACAATAAAGCAACACCTCTCAAAATCCAGTGCTCCGGCGGTTTCGCCGAGCATAGCCACAACGGCGTTATATAATTCAAATCAGTCCTATTGGATTTTTTGTAGACGGGACACTGTAAATAAGAATAGATTTATGGTGATGCCATAGTTGAGCAATTTGGCTTTCATCTTACGGTATATAACTTGGGATCTTTGGGGGCGGTGGAGAAAATTGCATAGATGTGCACCACGGGGATGAGGGTGTAAAGCACCTTATTTATAGACTCTGTGAGTCGGGAATGTCTTCGATCCCATCCAGCTCCGTCCAAAAACAATCCGTACACGAACACCCCTTCCTGCAATGCATTTATGTTAGTTCAGTGATGTCTCGTCTAAACAAATGTATTGATTTATTGTTATTCGTATACCGGTGGAGGCACTTTAATCTCTTCCCTGATGCTTTTCGTGACCTCATTGTGCAAAGTCACTTGATCCAATGCCCAACCCTTGTGGGCCCTGGCCACCTCCTGTCTCATAGCAGTCAGGAACCCTAGAGTTTTCATTATTTCAATAGTTATTTTTCTTATAATAATATCAGAAACGAAAGCAAACCTTGCGGATTGAAAAATCCAGTCATCCAAAATGAAGGAGGTCGTCCACTGAAGCACCACGTTTTGAATTGCAAATCGCGCTCAATGAATTCGGTATACCAGAAACCCAAGCTGCTCGAAGCCCATGACCCTTTCCTCCAAATTGTTGGCACCAAAGCATCGTAGATATTATCGAGGGCATCCCTCAAAGCCTACAAAGAATGTTTAAAAAAATATTCAAATAATACATCGAAATATTAATCCCATTACTTCATTCATAATTATAGTTCCCTCTATGGCAAGCAAAAGATCTCTTAAAGTGGTCCTAACCAATTTAATGACAATAACCATTCTGTCAATTTCTTGCCTCAGGAAAATATTCAACGAATTGAGCAAACCCATAGCTTTTAATCTATAAACACAAGCAATTATAAAATTCGAATTTGCATACGTTTTAAAGTTAAAATGTACCTTTCTTTAGTTTCAAATGGATCGTAATCTAGCGGCATCTTAGATAACATTTCTTGTGCTTGGCGCGCCACATTTCCTTCTCGAGTTTCACCACCACCCCCACCAGATTCCTTTGGTTGGATTGAAAGTATTGTATACAGCATAGTTGAAGTACTATTCGTTTGATAGCTTTAAAGATATTTAAATGGTAATTATCAAGGAATTATGTATAATTTCAAATTATATACGTTATATCAGCGTTGGGATGTAAACCGTAAGCCTGCGGAGGATCTATAGTGGCGAACAAAGCTATTGCTTCCATGTATTCAGTAACTTGCTTGAATTTTAATATTTTGTAGCCTTTGTAAAAATTGAAGTCATCAGCAAACATTTTCTCGCTGAACCAGACCTTCGCGAATGTGTTCAACAACCTCTTATCGTAATCATCTGTGACTCTACCGCCATACTGAACTTCGCCCAACATGTATCTGCATCATATGTTCGAATGTATTATATAATTACAAGCAAATAATTAAATATTATTTTAATTTTTATAATCACCTGATTGTGCTCCAACTGAGACCACGTTTGGGATCTAGATCTTCAAGATGATTTTGTACGAACATACAGCTGGCCAAGTGATCTGCTGAATTAAATTCGTATGGTATATTCCAACCAAGAGGTCCGAATTTACGCCGCTCTTGAACTATGGTATGTAAATAGGATATTGCGTATACCAATGGAATGTACTGAGGTTGATCTGAATAATCCAACATGTCTTGATTCATCGAAGTGTATGTCCTTAATACACCAGCCCTAATACCTATGAACCAATAAAATTTAATTACATTTCTGTATCTCATGTACATTAATACAAACCTGATGGTGGTTCATTGGTAAATTTGATACACAACTGCAGTAAACCTATGGGAAAACTAGGATGAACTTCCGTGGTTATCCATAATCTAAAATTAGCATGCATCCCTTCGCCTTGATTACGTTCCAATTCGAGCAGTTGCAACAATACCTCTTCCATATAATCGAGACCCAAATGGCAATTTTGCAATAGAGCCCAAAATCCCTGCAACATTATTATTAATAACATAGTCCACCATCATTCAATGGGTCCGAAAAATACGGTGTGCTTCTTACATCGGTCATAGCGTTTAGCAGTAGTTTTCTAGCGTGCACTTCTTGTCCTTGGCCCATGGACATTGATTTGACTTTATTCTCAACTCTTTTAGCAAGTTGCTCAATATAAGGAGTTGGATCGGATCCGGTGCTCAAGAAGCAAATCATTGGAGTCAATGGTCTTGACTCCGACAACATGGTCTCCATATTAAGAATTACCGGTTCTGCAAATCTCTGCCCCATCGAGGCACCAATATATTTTCTGCTCTGAGTTAAAGTTCTATCCGGACACATTGATCTGTCGAAAACAAAAAATGCTTATTCATACATACATAAAATATACATATCAATAAAATATACCTGATGAGCAATAGTCTTCGGAAGGTGTCGAGAGCATTATAACCATCAGGTATAGATGCTTCTTCGGGAGCATCCTTATCGAACCACACCTTCCAAACTTTCTCGTTATTGGTGATCTGAGTGACTATGTATTGGAAATGTCGAAGATTCGATAATTCCACCAGATTTAGCCAGGCCAGATCCGTGATCCATTTGGATGGTTTCGGTGGACAAGAGTTCAAATCTAGAGCTGCTCCACCCTTGATGAAATTCTGAAATTCCTCGTGAGTTATGTGGTTCCTCTGCAAATCGATCCTCAAACACATCATAAGAACGAACATGTATTTGTCAACCTCGTATAGACCACGAGATTTATACTTAAAAATCTCGTATGTCAAATAATCAATTATGAAATTAATTCTCCTGCAAATAATATACAAATAATTGTATTTTCTTTAGGTGTGAAATAAAAGCGTAAAGTATAATACTTAGATTGTATGGGACTCTTCTCGGATTTTAACATGGATAAGTCGAATCTCTCTAAAAATTGAACGAGAGATGTCTGGTACATGCAATTCACCATTGCCATTGATGTGATTAAAAAATACAAGACGCTACCGCGTGTTGCAATCGGTCGAAATTCTTCACGAGCTGCGTTGATCTTGATTTCTGTGTCTCTCGCAATATCGATTTTTTCTCTAACTTCGGTGGCAGTGGATTTGGTTACGTTCAGGACACCGATAACAGACTCATCATCTACGAGTGATCCTTGGGTCGTCGTCAATTTGTACAGCAGATTCTGTTCCAACTCTAAAATCTTCCTCTTGTTTGCAGTTACATCTTTAATCAAGTTTGTCCTCTCCGATTCCAGCTCCCTCTTTTCACTCAAGATTACGCGTCCCAAGAGCTGATCCTCCAAACCCTTCATGGTAACGGTAAAATCGATAACTGATGTTCTTGCAAAGATTTCCGGAGTATAAGAAGGATTTGCCAATTTTGTTGTGATGTACATGCGGAAATCCTTCATGTAATCCACTTCTTTGTCCCCTACTTTTACTTTATAAGTGGTACCAATTTTGATATGATTCTTCTCCAGCACGTTATCCAACACCGGATCCAATTCTTCGCCAACGTCTTCAATAAGCATCGGCATTCCCAACGAGATGGCATCCTCGATGTGATTCCTAAAGTATTTATGTGACAGCGCTGTTACAATTAAACTGTTGTCCTTTTCTTTATTTCGTATCCACGCCTTCCCTTGACTTTGTGGATCTATCAGAAGTGGATACCTGGAAGCTTTCGTAACGATTATACCATTCTGAATTGATAGTTCATCGGTAGGCAATCCTTGCAAATTCCATTCACCAACCTAAACAGAGAACAGAATAGAATATAGTAGATTGATGTATCTTCGTCATAGCTACGGTTGCGGTGTCCGTCAAACTATCCGTAACGCTGATATTTGAAGATAATGGAATTTTTTTTTCGAGCAGTCGATCAGCCCATTCGGTTTGCATGTTTACGCGAAACTCCTGATTGAATGGTCCTGTATAGTTTAAAAATGCCGTCAGGACAATCACATCACCAACGAGACGTTCCGTTTCTGCTTTAAACTGAGCAGATTGTTCTGTCCATCTTACTTTTTCACCACTTAAACCTTCGATCAAAGCAGTTGCTGCATCCATTTTCGCCCTGCACTTGCTATAGTCATCCTCCACTTCTTTCTTGAAGCTCAGCGCCTTATCGTATCTCATTTTAATTGCCAGACCTTCGGCTACAGTTTCCTCCAAAGTTTTCAACGCATAATCCAGTTCAGATTGAGCCTTGTCTAACTTCACTTGTTGTCGTGCTAAATTGGCTTTCAGCGGCAATACCTCTTTGTTGACTTCGTAAAACGAGGCCATCGCTACGGTCCAAGAAATAAGACCAGCAACGTTACCGCAAGCTGTTTTTGCTGCTTCATAAGTATACTGAGGAAAATCAAAGTAAGGTACGAGGAGGTCCAGCATTTCTGAATTTATCGTGTCCTTCGGATAATCTTGCAGTTTACTAAGAAATTTCGTATCCGCCATTACTTTTAGTGACTCGCTCCAAGAAGTGACAAGGAATTTTTTCTCAGCATCATATTGTGTTGGTTCCAGTCTTCTTTTAAAATATAATAGTACAGCATCCATAATGACCATAATGAGAAACGGCGGTTTGCCCAATTTTCTGACTGTAGCTATATCAGCAGCTTTGATTGTCTAAAAAGAAAGATTTTTGAATTAGATCAAAGCTATTGAAGAGCACCCGAGTATATCATAATACTTATTTGATTTTCAATACCTTTAGAGCTTGTTCGGCTGCTTCCAATGCCGGTTCTGCAGCTTTCAGTCTATTAGAAGCATCTTGTTTATCAACAGCAATAGCATCTACTATAACTTTTGCCTTAGCTGTGAATATTTCAGCATCGTCGCTCAACTTTTTCGCAATCTTCTGTGATTCCTGGACAGCAACTAGCACGACTGATGCTTCTGCTCCCGCTTTGGCAATTTCTTTGTTCTTAACTACTAACTCCTGCTTCAGTATATTGACACTACTAGCAGCCTCTATCAATTTTGTCAGTCCAGTTTTCATTCTCATAGCTAGAACATTTATAGCTTCCAGTTTCTCTTCGTATAGGACCTTGTAATTGCTTAAAAAGCTCAGGAAAGTTTTCGGCGTAACGTATGTTTGCCTTCTGAATCTATCGTAATAGTTGGTGCAGGTCTCCGCAACACCGTCCTGTATTTCTGCAGTCATGTAAATCAGTTCTTGCTTGGTTTCCGATGTGCATATAATTTCAAAATCCTTCAGGAAGTGCTGCGATACTTCAATTAGTGCGTCCATAGGCCATTTAGAGAACCAGTCCATGGTGCAACCGGATATGAGACCCGGGAATTTCATGGCACGTGTTCTAAATTTCTCGCCCACCTAGAAAACATCGAATCACATCGGATTATCATATTTAATGCTAATAATTACCGGTGAAAAGCATAGAACTACGTGAAGATTGTTTCTTGCCCTGTTGATAAAGAAATCATAAAGATTGTCATTGCTAGGGGGTCTCTTCGGATGGACCTTTTTCATCACTGGTATTAGATCTGTTTGAATCTCATCCAATTCATCCTTTGCAAATAAATTGGCTATCTCTCCGGAGCTGAGCACATTGTTGATGGATTCCAAAAAGTTTTCGTCCTTGATTTCGTTGTCGGTAAATATGAACGCTATTCCCTGTCCTTCGAAACCCGCGACTCGGTATAAATATTTCATATCATCCATAAGGTTATTGACGTTATAAGATCTGGTCAATTGGATTTGATAGTTCTTGTAACCGGCGATGAAAGAAGCAAGTCTTGTTAAACTCTGTTTTCCGGAACCTCCCACGCCTACTAGTAGAGCATTGCCTCTCGGCGTCCTTACAATTCGAGAAATAATCATCAAATGCACCATCGCATCATGGAAGAATACCATATCCATTTGACCACCTCTAACTGTCTCATTGTATTGTCCCTCATAGAAGAACAATTTTTCCTTCAGGAAGTCGAAGCTGGGAACCTCCTCGTAGATTTTTGGTGGTTCAAAACTGAAATCCTCAGGTTCATCGCCGGTCGCCTCCGGTGGCTCCTTCAAGAAGTCCACAAAGTAACACTCATCATCATTGTAATGCTTATCAAATATATCTTCAAGTTCAATAGACGCTTGCCGTTTCATATTCATCAAGAACCATTCTCTGTCCTGTTCGTTTGTAAATCTATACAAAAATATAATCAAATAGATATACAATGATTAAAAATGATTAATGTTTACCGATCGGCTATAACACGAGTACATTCGTGTTGCCATAACTTCAACAGGGATACAAGATTCTTACAATCTTCCCCTTCAATAGTTAGTATTCCTTGCCAAATTCGAGACAAATCTCGCAGATTGAATACGTAGTGGAATTTAGCAGGTGTAGGCAACATTTTGGTCTTAGTTTGTTGCCAGACATTTCTAGTTAATGGGATTAAGCGCGGCAGGAATTCCACAATAGTTTCGTTGAAACGTTCTATGCAGAAATACCCTTCGCCAATATTATTGAAAATCTGATCCATGGAGTTTTTGCTTGGCAATGTACAATTGAAGATGCAGAAGTGTCTTTTTAGCCGATGAGGTATATCGTTTCGACCACCACCCGGATGGATCATCGCGGCCAGGAAAAGTACGTCCATAATTGCAGAGAAGTCTCCAGGTTTATCAAGACTGTAGAAACCTCCTCCTTCCATAAGTTGACGTACAATTTCATTTGTAACTTGATCTCCCCACGCATTAATGACTGGCATATTGATATCGTCGATGAAGATCGTCAAGGTTTTACCAGTTGGTGGACCATACGTTGTTCCAACACGTTTATCCACGTACGATTCAATGATGCGCTATGCAAATCAATGACTTAATACATGAACAATATTAAAATTACTAGCGTTCATACCTGAACCATGTTGGGTGTAGTGGCCGATGAGAAATTAAACATCTTGCATAATTTAAATTCCGGGTCGAAACCGGCTGTAAATCCTTTGATCATCACTGTTTTAGCAGTTCCCTGTTCACCTAAAATTAAAAATATAGATTTGCAAGAGGATATAAACAAAGCTATTAATTAACCTATCAATAATACAGCTTTGTTTTGTTTGGCTATAGTTTCAATTAAAAAGGCCGTCCTCACGTTATCCACGTTAGGTACCAAAATGCTCGCGTATTCTAGTACGTGATCAGACGGATATAGGAATTGTTCTACACGTTCAGACCAATGTTCCCATTTCCCCTCAACGCTCACAACGTATTCGAAAATAGTTTCTCTTTCTTGAACCTTGGGCCAATTCATTCTAGACGGATGAGTAAGTACAAACTCTTCCCATTTCACGCGATCATCTAATTCTAGAGCAGCGCCCAAAGACCACATGACTGAGAATAAAAAGAGATGTTCTAAATGTCTATCAGTCTCTAAAAATATAAAATACACACGAAATTAAACCAACAATAACGTAGTAACACGCACAAATCATTACTGATATCATTTTCCGTATCGAGAATTCCTTCAAGAACATCGTAGCACTGTCTTATATAGAGAGCCTCTCTGATCATAATTTTCGGTTTGAGTCGCATGATGAGAAAGTTCTGAATATCGTTGTATATCTTGTGAAATAAATGCCTAAAGATCTCGGTCTCTTGGAACGATCTGGTCTTAAGCCACGAATCAAGAATGGGCATCCAAGGAAGGACTGAAGCGCTCATGAAGACCATCCCCATTCGAGACACGGTTGCAGGACTGGCGTTGTCTACATTATCTGGTTCGAATACCAATTTGCAGTTTGGAGCCATAACTATACGATCTCCGTTGGCCAATGTTAAAGTCTTATTATCGTCCAAAACCGAATTCAAATTTTCAATCCAAACGGCATCAACGGGACCATCAAGTACAAGCCTTATAATCATATTCAGATTAATTATTAATATTTACAGGTATCCATTAATAATAGTACCAAACAAAATCAGACTTCTTCACCTTCCAAGTTCTTCTCCAAAGCGTCGAGAAAATACCATCCGTCCAATCATTTGTGGATACGTCCAATCTACCAAACATTTGAGGTGCTGTTATTGCCTGAATTAAAGAAAATTTAGTGTTTATGAGTACATTAAAGAATTCATACCTTTGGATTCATCCTCATTTCTTTATGCGGTAAACCATTTTCCGTTTGGGATCGCATTAAACAATGCATGCATTGAGTTTTTCCTGCTCCAGTGGGTCCCATTACCATCAATCCGTGCCTCACCAACGAAGTTTCGTATAGCTGTAAAATTTTCAAATTCCAACTGGGATAGTTGATTAGACCCATTTCCTCGCATTGATTGTTAATAGCCTTTTGAAGATCTTTCCACGAATGTGCAGACAGTTTAATACCAGGGAACATATCTTCAATCAGCGAAAGGAATAGTGGCTCATCTTCATCGACTAACTTGCTCAGATTCATGTCTCGAAGCACTCGCATTACGATGGTTTCCTCAGTGTCCGTTGGATGTGTACGTCTTTGTGCTCCCAGAGTCCTCAACACTGATAAAATGTTTCTCAGGCCAAAATCGTAATGGACTTGTTTCGATAGTTGCTCTTCGCACAATTTGTATAATGTAAAGAACTTCCTGCAAAGGACCACGTTCTCTTTGAAACCACAGGAAGCAAGTTTTACGCGGATTATGATTTGACGATCTGGTACCATCATGGCTACGGATCGGAACATAATCTTCAAATTCTCAGGAAGCTCCTGACGCCCCGCATAACCAGGATTCATCGTTAAGAATATACCGAATTCAATGTTCATCGCCACGTTATCACCATCTCTGTACAGTTCATTTTAATTAGTTTCAAGTTAAAAGAATTGTTACATGGAGTATTACGTAAAAATGAACATAGGTTTTCTTTCCTTTCTCGCTTGAAGTACTATGTAAATTTGTTGCGCCGCTACGGAAAGCACGGGAAGTTCAATTCTGTTAAACTCATCGAAGCAACCCCAAGTTCCGGATTGTGCCAAACCCTTGAGATATAAATATTAGTATTTTGTAATCCTTAATTAAATTAGATGTACTTTGAAAATACGACCTAAACCGCGAAAATCCATTTGATCTGAGCAATTGAAGACAACGACCAACTTTCCCAATGTCCGACCCATATCTTTTACTGTTTCAGTTTTGCCAGTGCCCGCTGGACCAGCTGGAGCTCCACCCATATTCATCCCTATTTAATAAACACATAAACATAATAAAACTAAAACTTAATATTAATTAATAATATATCCTACATATAGCCTGAGCAAGAGTAATGTAACATCTGTCAGTGAGCGGAGTGATTGCGAGACGTTCAGTAACACCAAGGTATTCATTTTGGTAAAGGAAAATCACATCAGTAATCCTGACTAACACGTCGTCGTTTTCTTCATTGTAATAGAACCTGGCTTGCTTCTGCCACTCAAAATCCAACAACGAACGAACTTTGAGCTTGACAATATCATCAAAAATGTCCCTCTGGTGCACGTGGATCGTGACCATCGTTTCGAACCTGGTGCGTTCCAGTACCGTCAAATCTTTCGAGGTCAAATCGATAAGTGAATTGAGCAAGTCCAGAAATCTCTTGTTAGTGTTTTTCATGATCACCTTGTCCACCTTCGCCCTTTTAATTGCGAACTCCGATTCCTTTGTCCATAATACTTGAACACCAACCAATCCGGCCTATTGAAAATAATATATTAGTAATTACGTAATAATATTTGCTTGCTGAAATACCTGTCCGCACGTTAATACGAAACCTTTGATGAAATCGTATTCGGGATCTTTGAAGCATTGCGACTGCATAGCTATAACATTCTTAACAGTGTCTTTTACGGTAGACAAGAGACTGTTCAACCAAATCTCAACGCCTCCCGTGCATACTACAGGTTTTTCAAAAGAAACGCGTTCATCCAAGTTCGAGCTCATTCCCAAAATCATATCAGACTTTTTCTTATCAAATTTAACTTTGGCAACGGCATCAAATAAACTGAGGAGGTGCGGTTGAATTGATTGTGGATCTGAGCTTTGGCCCAAGATTTCCAAAAGCACTGGATCCGAGATGAAGAAGAACCTTGGGAAGCACAAGCGTTTGGATTCTGCGAAAATAAACTAATTTAAATTTCTCGAGAATATGTGGATTAATGCAGAATTCGATACCAAGATATCCTGATAAACTTTTCTGGCAAGTTTCTAATTGCTCCAATAGATATGGTAGTATTTGCATCATGGTATCATCGAAGGTACAGCATTCAACTGCGTTTTGGATTTCTCGTGCCCTGGTCATTATTTTTACCCAAGATTTATCAATACCCTAGAAATAAATTAATTTCTTCATCGCGTAATCAATTGCTTGTTATATATAAATATACGCTGAATCTCTTAGCTTCAGCTGGAAGTTGTCTTGCTATGTCACCTCCAACGAAAACAGCCTCCAAATATATCCAAAGGTTCTGCACAATCAACCATTTCTCCAGAATCTCCGATGTGTTAACCAACTTGCTTACCCAAATTTGTATGTCCTTTTTGAATGGAGCATTATACCTAAATTAATCTCGCTATTAATAACAGTATATAATAATGCATTAAATCTATACCTGTTACTTAACAGCGAGTTCATAATCATTAAGCTATCTTCCAACAAGGCTATAATATCACCAGCTTCTGCACCTTTCAGCAATAGCTCACCACGCGTTTTGAAATTGGCAAAGGATAAATCTACTATAGCCCAATCTGCAATAACTTGCTTCAACTTTGCTTCAATGTCCTTCTCTTTTACAGCACTGATGCAAATATCCTGGAGAAAATTAATTCCATTTATATTTTGTAAAATAATTAAATTATCTTCGACTTACCTCAACATCGTCTTTAAAATTAAGCAATGGCGCTTCCATGACGTTTCTCAGAGTAAACGTTGGAGAGTCAATATCGAAGTTGTACTTGGTAACAGTCGCTATTCTCTTCCAATGTCTGTCTTTCATAGCCTTGTTGGCCATCATCTCCAATAACGGACAGGTTTCGTTGAAATCGTCAATTTTCTTCTTCAGCTCTAAGAACGCAGGCCAATCCTTCATACCTTTTGGTAACTTGCGACACCTTGAATGGGTTTCAAATGTAAATTGTTCAAATTCATTAAATATGTTAAAATTCGTTACCTATTTTGAAAATCTTGCAACTCAGTCATGATGACTTCAGTATCAACGTCCGCCCAGAGAATGTCGAAGTAACCATCTATACTGTTATTAACTGTAAGATATAGTCCGTACAGTTTGTTGAGCAAATTGAATTCTTTTTTCTTCTGGTGCAGAATTGGATAGTCGTGAACCTCGAGGCCAAACAACCTTTCACCGCTGCTGTACATTTCAAATTTGCGCCACAGCTCTTCGAATTGTGCTTGAAACAAGAGCACTTTGTCGCTGGCCTCTCTTGCACTTAAGCCCGGAATCATCGGTCCGTTTGCTTCGTAATCTATATCAAAATCTATTACCTCCTGGACGAAATCCTTGACTCCTTCGGTGAGCTCATCTTGCAATGGTCCTTGCACATTGTTGATTTGCTCTTGAACATTTTTAGCCTGATTCAATATTAAAATATTATCTTCAATTTATTCAGTAGCAATATAATCTCACGTTGTTAAGCATATTGGTGAAATTGAAGCGCAAAGTGTCGACGCGTTCTACCTCTTCTTTAGAAATGTCGATCTTGAAACGTATGAATGTTGCGTATGCTTCTTCCATCGTCACCAAATCCATGTCCATATCGATAAAATTTTCTCTGATACGTTCCAGACAACTCATCGCCAAGCTAAATAATAATTAGTAAAAATATTACCGATAGAAACCATATTTTCAAATACCGGCAATCATCCAAGTCCTTTATGGGTTTTGCTAAGATTTTCTCTTGGGCCTTGATGAAATCGACCATTTCCATGAGCTTTTCTTTATACCTAATGGCTAAATTCTTTCCCAAATTGTGCTTCCACGCATTCGATTCTACCAATAGACCGAGCTTGTAGTTCTCTAAATAATTCATGAAGTATTATATTATTTTGCATTAACTAATTATGTCTAACCCATGCACACTTGCACAGCTCCGATGTTGTGAAATTCTGGCAATGCGTTTATTTTGTTTCCTCTTTCGTCGTAGGATTTAAACTTTTCCGCGATTTCAACCACCAAGGGCTTCATTTCGCAAAACTCATTGATTTGGTCTTCACGGTCTTCAGCCCAAAGATAGGCATAAGCTAGGTAACTCTATGAATACAAACATCATCAATTTTATATCGTTTCAACTTTAAAAGAAACATTGACTAACCTCCAGCAACTTTAAAACGTCTGGTTTTAAGAGATACATTGCACCTTGAAGTCCCATAAATAAACGAACAATTTCCTTGTGTTCAGAAACGGTTTGATAGTAATTACTGTAACCTGAGCTCGTATGGTTCTTATCGCCTTCGACTATATTGAAAGTTTTTTTCTTATGGGCGTACCTTTGGCCCCATTGAATTATCTCCGTGTGCGTGTCGATGATGTTGTTCAGCACCAAAGTGAAGAAATTCTGAATCTCGTCCAATTCAGGATTGATCATATTTGTCGGTATATGTAGCTCCATGTTAGTCTTCATTATAGGATTATTGGCCAACATATCTTCCAAACTGAAAAAACGAGTTCAGAAAAATTTGAGTCTTACATGTCTAATGGAAGTACCTTGTTGATGCAGCTCTCTTTTTAATTTGATCCAATGATGTTTTGGTGCACTTTACAAGTGCATCGGTCATACTCATATTGAAGTAGGCGAACATTTCTATGCAGTCGTTGTGTATTAGGCCGATATCAAAATTTTGGTTCCTATCAATCTCTTTGAAAGCCGCGTCTTCATCGGACATCACCAGTTTAGAGGAAGATCCAACCGGTCTAAGTACTCTGTCTGGGTCGAGCCAATCGAATTTGCCTTTTTGCAGATCGGGCTCAGTTATTGAAGCCATGAACTTGTTAATCAAATCTACAACGGCCTTTTCCGCAGTCGAAGATTTCAATTCGATTTCCTTAACTACAATACAGTTCAATTACTGTTTTTTTTTACTAAAATAACTTAAAAACAAGACCTATTTCTGCACGATGTGCTTGATTCAATCGAAGAAACTCATCTGGAGGTACAGGATCTGCAGGTAAATGAACAAGTATCAATTGTGCTATTCCATCAACAACTTCATCAATTCTAGCTTCCTTGATATCCGACGCCTAAATGCACAAAACCAGTATAGAGTATACTTATTATATATCGATATTTAATTAGTATACTTCTTTCACGAAAACTTCTATGTAATCCAAGAACTCGCCGACTTCTTTGCAGAATTGCGGGATTTTCATCGAAGTCCACGTGATCGAGGAAAAACCTGGCATGAAAATGTTTTCCATTTTGATGAGGATCAACTTAAGGAGCGGAAAGAACAGTTTCGGGATGGTCAATCTAATGAAATCGTGACGCTTAATTAAGGCCGTCATCATCTCGTAAGACTTTAAGATCTTGTCACGACAGAAGACGATAATTTGGCCGGAATCGGGAACCTCTGTGAAATCAAAATTTGTTACTGAAATTATAGATTAATTTACTCATTAATTTACCTAATTCTAGTTTATACATGTACTCAGATTCTCTGATAGCTTCTATAATATAAGGATCAAAATTAACGATGAACCTTTTGGTTTTCGGATGTTTCATCAGGATTGGTGCGCTCAATCCACCACGAACCTAAAGCAACAATAATTATTTTTTTTTATAATAATTATTTGGTGGAATTTAAATACTTGATGTAGATTTTCGAACCAGGAGTTATGGTAGATTTGCTCGTAATGAACGAAAACTGTAGCTAAAGCGTTGTATAGTTGGATGCATTTTTGGGCTTTCCTATGTCGCATTACCTAAAAACTCATACATATTACATTGATAATAATAAATTTTCTAACTAATCACTCTTCGTTTTTCCTTGAAAACATCCATTGGTTCCTCGATACGCTTATAAAATTGTCTGATCCATATGATTCTTCCACTTATGGGCGGCATATTTTTGGGAATCGGAGGCGTCTGTCGATCTTCATTGTACTTGTCCCTAAGTTCCTCAATTTCCGTTTGATATATCTCCAATGCCTCTAAATAGCGCTCATCCAAATGAAGACAATCCAAGTTTAGCTTTTCAAATCGCTTCAGGAGTCTCAAGATGTTATCGACATCGGTCATATTTTCCAAGCAAGTTCCAACGTATTCCTCCAGTTCGTATTCAGTATCCACGACGTTCTGCTTGAATTCGGTATAATCCGTGTTGAACGTAGCCAATCGATGGTTCAAAGCATCATATTTCTTAACGGAAATGGTCATGTAAAACTTGATGAACTTTGTGGCGAAATCGTTGATGCCTTCAATTGTGCTTGATTGCAAAACCGAATACTTAGTTGTAGTCTCAAACACATCAATTATCTGTAAAATTAAGATAATTAAATTTTGTTCGAATTAAACTGATTATAGTAGAAATACCTTTTCGATGCGTTTCTTGAAAGTTTCAAATTTACCAAAAACGTACATTTCAGAGCAATCGAATGGAGGTTCTCCCATTTCTTCCATTTTAGCTAAGATATGTTTAAAGCATTGGTAATATTTCAAGTACAGATCAAGACACACCTAAACATCAAATATTAAAATTTTATGAATTTCTATTAGTTTAATGCAAATACCTTAAACTTGTCCATGACTTCATTTCGAGGCTGATTCCAAACAGTTTTCGCTCCGTCACAATTGAGGAACTTACGACAGCTCGAGATCATTTGGTTAGAGACTTTCACCAAGATCGCAGTTACACTAGCTGTATTATTGTAGTAACGAGAAGTGGTGAAGACCATGCGAATCGAGTATAAAAGGGCCGGAAGATGATCAGGTATCTGAGAAGGATCACACCTGTACAGAGGCTCCCAATATCTTTCCAAAGCATACAAGTATTTAACATTATCCTGGCATTCGTTCCTTGCATCAGTCACTGCGTTATCTTGAATTTGCCAGAACTATAATAGCCAATTATTAAATTTGTTGCTTTCAATAAATCTAATAAACCTTTAAAAATTTCGATTTTGCTTGGTTCAAGAGCATCAAATGCATCATGCACACATCGGACTTGATGAAATCAACTATACTCGTGAACCTGGCCAACTGCCTTCTCCAATATTCGATTTCCACCAAAGGTCCAACAAACTCATCCTCTCGTCTCAACTGTTGGAATTGAGTCAACACCTACGAGAATACCGATAAGATAAGTTTGAAAGTAAAATAAGTATCATCATTTCGTACCCTTTCCATGATCTTAGCCCATGATCGAACTGTAGCTTCAACTTGATGGACAACCTCTATTTTCTCGACGGCCGATTTGATCATCACGGATGACGAGAAAGTCGATTTGTAGAAATCGTAGTTGTAAGTAAATTTGACGATTCCATCAAGATCAATTCTGGTTGCTGCAATGTGAATACATTTTAGTTAAAACGAAATTGCGAATTGTTTGCATTGAATTTACTATCGAGAAAGTTGCAGTAGTGCTCAAAATCTCCAAGGAAATCCTTCTTTATTTGCAACCCGGCTTCCGTCTTCGGCAAATCGCCCCAATCTTTGGCCATCAACAAATTCGGTTTAATAATCTTATCTATTACATCGTACACCATCGACACTACATTTCCATTATGATCTTTGACATTCAAAGTGCAGAAAAACACTTCCTAAATTATAAAAAAAAATCAATATTTTTTTTATATTCCATATGAATTAACTTACATCATTTATATTTCTCATATCAATAGCCTTTTCTTTTAAGATTCTGTAGGCGACCACGGCTCGATCTTTGAATGTATTCGACGATGCATTTCCAACTGTAACTCTTTTCATCAATGTATCTTTAGGAAGTTGCGGTGAATATCGACCAGTATCTAAAAAGAAATAACGAATTATAATTAAATGTTTGTTGATTAAGCAGGTTTTACCAATGGAAGGTGCTTCTTCGTCTTGATAGAAAAATATGACTGATTGCGTGCCGTTTTCGATCAGGAAATTGTCCAGTGATTTAACAAAGTTTGGATCATCTGCTACTCCATCTACCACTTCATTGGAATCTATGTGCAAGAATATTCCTACCATATCGCAGATATGTCTATGCCACAACTGCAAACCCATCACTCTTGCAGTCCTATCTTCTTTTGCTTTAGCCTACGAATTATTCAATAATTTTTAATTTCTTCAAAGTTATTATCGAAAATTACCATTCTCTCTCTGAAGTTTTCAACTTGCGTCATCGTGGACATATTTCCGACTCTCGACTTCCTGCGAAGAGATGCGAACGTCTTGGTCACGTCCTTCAGCATTTCCACGTCCTTTTCTCCTTCCGTGGAAGTTACTGAAGTCGCCGAAGCAGTCGACATTTGGCTAACATTTTCGCTTGGTTTGTTCAGGCTGTCCTCGTCACCCATCTTCGTTGCTTTCTACCACTTTCTACACAAATATCGATAATATTTATACAGAACTAGTTATAGATCGACATCATTTTGAAGTTGCTATTTATTTAAAAAGATAATTGATAGTTGCACGCTCACTCGATTATTCTTATTAATGTCATCGTAAAAATACAGTTGCAAACAAATACAGTTACTTCTGCTATCATTATTATGTTATAATATGTTATAAGTAATGATAAGTATTTATTTTAGATAATCTCAATTTTAAAATATTCAAAGTTTTCTGATGTTTCACCTATAATTTTTTTTTAATAAATAAATACTTGTATTTTTGATTATAGCTTTAATATTAAAAATATCCTTTTTTTTATTAATTGCATTATATAAAACTTGATAATCTTGGAAATATTATTACAATTTTCTATGGAGATATATGATCTGTAAAAAAAAATTAAAAATCTAAAAGTCATAGTTCCTAAAAGTATTTTAATGGAAGACGACCAAATCGACGAGGTTTTTTTTTTCCGCCTGCTACCTCCCTCTAGGAGGAGCCTCTTCCATTTAGCTGCGTCCTTTCGACGCATTACGCCAATCGCAATATGTATTGTAGTGGAAAGGTTAGAGGATAGGTGGAGTACGAATCGGGGTCCCGGCGATTCTACGAAAGATGTTGGGGGGACCTCGGAATGGTTGTTTGTGATGATTGGCTGTTATTTTATAAGGAAGTATCCGTGGTTCGACGAGGTTTGGTGGCAGAAGAAAAATAATAAAAAAAAAACAAGTAAAAAAAGGTTGAAAAACACTGGCCATATCTTTAAGTTGGTGTTGGTTGGTTGGTGTTAAGTTGGTGGTCTATCATAAATTGTACACCATTGTACACATCAGTCATACATTTAGTTGATGTAGTGTCCAATTGTCAAACAGTATTATTTGTTTATGTTTTTTTTCTAAAAAGAAATCGACAAAATGGAAAATGAGAAGATAGTTATAAGGTACAGAGGCTCGAAATTAACAAAGGTGAAAGAACTGGATCTCTTCCCAAAGATTGAGGACACCTACAGAGAACCTTCATCAATTGGTGGAACATGTTGGTTAATTCATAATCCAATTGAAGATCAATTTGAAGCATATTAAAAGTTTGTTGTTGCAGTGTCAGTCTTCAGTTTCCTGGTAATTTTTTGGTTAATTTGCTCGGAGATACATTTTTATTTGGATAGTAAATTTGTGTATCGGTTCTCACCTGACACAGACTTTGATGGCAAACTTAAGATCAATGTTGATATTACAGTGGCCATGCCTTGTAACAGTGAGTATTTGTTGGCATGATATTTGTTGGCTTGATTATTTAATGACTATGTTGTTGCAGATTTGGGAGCTGACATTTTAGATTCAACCAATCAAAATGCTTTTAAATTTGGTAAATTAAAGGAGGAAAGCACTTGGTTTGAGTTGTCTCCAAATCAGAAGTTATTTTTTGACAGCAAGAGACATTTCAATTCATATTTACGAGATGAATATCATGCTGTTGTGGTAGTATTATTTATAATTTCAATATTTCATCATGTTTTACATTTTTATTTAAGGATTTATTGTGGAAAAGAAGATTCACTCAGATGTTCAATCAAATGCCAGCTAGAACTGAAATACCAAATAGGCCTTTTGATGCTTGTCGGATACATGGATCATTGATTTTAAATAAGGTAGCTGGAAACTTCCATATAACTGCAGGAAAGAGTTTGTCACTACCGAGGGGCCACATCCATATAAGTGCGTTTATGTCTGATGCAGATTATAATTTCACTCATCGCATTGATAGGTTGAGTTTTGGAGATGCCAGTCCAGGCATCATTCACCCTTTGGAAGGAGATGAATTTGTAGCAAAAAACAGTGAGAATATTTTAGTAATATATTTAGCATATAAGTAATTGCGTTTTTTTTTTCAGATATGATTCTGTATCAGTATTTTGTAGAAGTTGTTCCGACTAGTGTTAAAACGTTCTTGACGACTGTAGACACGTACCAATACAGTGTTAAAGAATTAACACGACCAATAGATCACAATAAGGGGAGTCACGGAATGCCAGGGATATATTTCAAATACGATGTAGCGGCATTAAAAGTAACGATTAGCCAGGAGCGCGATCATTTAGGGATGTTTTTAGCCAAGCTGTGTTCTGTCGTCGGAGGAATTTACGTTTGCTCAGGTTCGCACGTTTCTAACAACTAAATTTGCATTAAATAATCAATCGTCATATTCTAGGTTTCATAAATACTTTAATTCTATTCTTAACGAATCTCGTCCTATGTCGCGCGAAGAAAGACGACGAGGACAAAAGTTACATCATCCACGAATCAAATTTGGTCTTCGAAGAGAAACCGGCTGCTACGATTATTATGTAAATCGTTTTTATTCGCGTGTTGTTCGTTTCTTTTTTTTTTTTTAAATTAATAAAAGAGTTTTTATGAATGGCAACGGCGAGTCCTTTTATTTCAATTGAAGCAGAATGTACAACGTGATTACGATGATGAAGAAGCAATTCGCTTGTGGCGATGCGCTCTTCGCCGCAGTTGTGATTTCCAATGGGATGATCGTGTTCTCCGTTTCGACTTGCATGGGAGTGATGATCTCTTCCTTCAGATCTGCAAAGACAAGGTCAGTTACAGTTGGAGAACGAAGACGGTGATGTAGTTGTATAAACTTGTGTCACCTGCGCCGACGGTGGCGAACCGAAGTATCGGAGAAGGCTTCGACCAACCGTAGCGATTCCTGGAGACGAGCAGAGCCTCGTAGATCGTCTTCTCCTTAAGACCTTTTATCGTGTAGAGTTTCGAATACATCGGACCCGAGTTCGTCGAGTGCTCCGTTGGAATTGTCAGCTTCGTCCAGTCGGGTCTGTGCAGTCCGGATTGTGGCCTGTACAATCTGAACCAGAGGTTGTATTCGATGATTGGCGTGTAACTGTCCACCTCCCAAATCAGAGTATACGAATTTTTGGATTCCAGATTCTTTTCGTCTGTTCTCTTGAATACTCCAGGATTTGGAACACCTTAAAAATAAATACAAGTATATAACATAGAATGACAAAGAGGGAACAAATTGTATTTAAATTGTTCTGTTGTTACGAAAACAGAATGTTATTATTAATCATAGCATGTAAATGTTCCAATTGAAATGCTTAATAAGAACCTTGATACTTCATAAATTATAGGATATACACATAGATATACACATAGACCACTAAATCTTCTCTATAATAGTTTAAATTGCATAGTATAATGTTATGTAACAAATGGCCAACATACAATTACCAAGTGCGAAATAATTTACTGAATAAAATCTTATTTCTTTAAAAACTTAATTTAACATAGGACAAAAAACATTATTAATATTATCAATAATAATTTAGTAAACTATTTAGTAAAAAAATTGGAAGTATTTCTATTTAAAAATGATCGTATTTTGCATCAATCTTAAATTGATTATTCCAAAAGTTGTAATATCTTGATTTATATAGATTCATCGAATAAACACAATATGTTTGCATAAAATGAAACTTAATATACCGGATAATTGTATTTGGACGTCGCCTTGCCCAAGATCGTTAGAAGCTCTGCACGTGTAAATTCCGAAATCGCTCCTCTGGATATCTCTGATCAGCAAAGAGTGTTTATCGCCGTCCACCAAAGAGACCACTCGACTATCCAAATTGACCGGTATTTCGCTCTTCAGCCAGGTGACTACGGCTTGAGGATCTGCGGAGACCCTACAGTCCAGCTGCGCCCTGAGGCCAGGTGCGGAGTGGATCCAAGAACGCGTGGTCATCAATTCCGGTGGATCTACAACAACAAAAAAGAAAAGATGCTCAAGATTTTATCGATTAATCCACAGTTTCATTACATATTATGTTTAATTCGATTTGGGCCGTGACCGGCTCTCCGACACCATTGGCAGCACGGCATTCGTAGATTCCTGCCAATTGCCGATCGGAAGCTGTGAATTTTAACATCTCTCTGTTATCCAGAAACTCCATATCTTCTCCCTACAATCAAACACAGATAGTTTAATCAACACAAATATTTATATAACATTGATTCACAACATATTTAAAGACTATTTGCATACTAGTACATAGTTAAGAGAAGTTGAAATAACAAACTTAAATTAAAGAATTTTAACTTTGTTTCAAGTAATTTGTTTTTGGACCTTAGATGTCCAACTGATTATGGGATGCGGAACGCCGGAAGCTTTGCAGGACATGCGGACTTCCTCTCCCAACTTGACTTCGAGGAAACCGTTGATTGGATCCGGTTCCACCGAGGGCGCATCTGAAGACATTTTAGTAACGTTGTTAGATGAGAGCACGTGCTTTGATTTTGCAAGGACTTACGTAAGACTTCGATTGCGTGCACCTGTTTAGCTTCTCCGAGCGGAGCGGGTCTTACGATTTCGCACATGTATTCTCCGGTGTCCTGGGGCTTCACCGTGTACACCTCCAAAGATCCGTTTCCCCACAACTTGAATCTGTCTGGAGGCATCACCGGTGGCGGCCCACTGTCTGCTATTTGCTTTCCATCTCTGTACCATCTCACCCTCGTCGAGTAAATTCCATCTGTCAATAATATACTGTTTGATTAACTTCATTATTACATAAGCATTATTATATAAACTAGCGTTTCTCAAAATTTTTGGTCATCACTTAGATATTTGAAGGATAGAAAATAACATTGATCTGTCCTCAATTTTTCTGCGACCCCCCCAAAAATGTAATTAGTTTTTCTAATTTAATAAGATTCTTCTAATTAACCATGATAGAAGGTAAGATTCGAATGAACGATTGATCGCGTATACAATTTCCGTTTTTGTGGGCTTAGGTATTTCCGGTTCAATTAGGCCTACACCTCAATTATCATTATCAAGAAAAGAAAATTGCTTGGTAATTTCCCAATTAATTGTCGATTAAGTTTTATGGTGCGGCTGCACTGCGTAAAGAAGAAAATAGAACAGTTTACCGGTTCAAATAATAATAAGAAGTTTGATGAACAATTTCACAATTTCGGTTCGTGGAAATTAAATTTGTATCAAATTAGTTTATAATCCAGTTTAATAATTATATTATTTTAATGTATATATATCACCCTACCATTTAGTTGATGATTATTTAACATAAAAATCCAATAGAAAATACTACCAATATTAGATTATCATTATAATTTAATAGATTGAAATCCAATTTTACCCGCATCTACTGCGGATAAATAAAATAAACACATATGGGTCAATATGACCCGTTTTTTTTAAGTACTTCAAAAATAGAAAAATATTGATTTTTACAATAAACACACATTAATTTAACACAATTTAAAACTCAATTAATTGCTTAAAAGTGTCTGCTTTAGTCTCATTATAGAAATGTATGATATCATTCTTTTTTGTATTTTCATTCAAATTATTAGTGTGGTGCATAATGGATATCAGAATTACTGATTTTCACCGTTTTGATACATAAGAAACTAAAGTTATTCCACTTTGAAATCCAAATATTAATGATATTTCAAGAACGTATTTGCTATAGACGGGTCACTTTGACCCGAAATACTCTCTACAATAAAATAATTACCTCTTGTCGCGACTGTTTTAATGCGACTAGTCAACAAATATCAGGTGGGTCATTTTGACCCATAATAGTAATGATTGATACAAATTTTTTATTTTTGAAAATGTAGGCAATTGCGAGAAAGATTTGACTAAACTGAACGCTAATTTTACTTTTCTATTTCTTGGGGTTTGCTTAAATAGTGAAGTGTTAACGTGTGCAGTCCAAGACCTGTTACTATTTATAAAGTACACACACAATGTGTTTAATATAATTATTTGCTAATAAAGATCGGAAAATACTTTTGAGGAGTAATAACCTATGCACAAAACCTAAATATTAGTATAATTGTTGATAATATATAAATTATTTTATAATAATGAGTGATTTATTTTTGTAGTATCAAAACCGATTTGTAAATTAACTATTTGTAGATGTAAATATAATTATTTAAATTAAAGAAAAATCTTAATAATATGTTATGCAATTGTTCAAAAAACTAAGTGAAAAAAGAAGATTTATGAAGAAGATAATTGTGGAAATTATTTTGAGTATTAGCAGGTAAATATTGAAGATGTTGATTGATGTGGTTTAGTTGTAAAGTAATAATTACCGTTTGCGTTTTCGAGGTAGCAAGGTAATAGGACGGTGTTGTTCTCAAGGGCTTTGACCGTGGTAGGAACACTTTTGAACTCGAGCTGTTCTTCGCACCAACAGGCGCCGACGATGAGAAATCCGACGAGAAGAACCTTTGCGGCGACACGCATAGTTTCGGAACTGATGATGTATTTGCACTACGATGGATAACTATAATTTAGCAGTAGTGTGCAATCCGCTCGGCACGCACGGATCCCACTGAGGAGGACTCTGAGAGCAATAATCATTGAAAATTACACTTAGGGGCCGGTCACTTAGGAACTATTCATTACCAATTACGGTCCATTTGCCGCGAGTACATGCCCTTTGTTAAGATACCTCCACAACAAATTGAATTAACCGCCTTTTCCATCCAACCAACCATCCATCCTTAGGGTACCCATTTCATAAACACTAATACATTTTTGTCCCTATTCAAAATTGTTTCCATAAAATCTCCTCAATACATCCCAGAAATTCGGAGAACGATTCGAACGGAAACAAACATGACATCATTGTTTTTTTTATATATTTATATCAACGCTTATGGGAATTAAATTCACAGTGTTTGCGCTCGCGTCTCCACATGCGAAATTACATACAACGTTTTCTATTTATATAATATTTTTTTTTACTTTTTGGGTTCCCAATTGCGTGGCTCTTTCACGCGATAATCCGTCTTTATTGTGTACCAATTGTTAGATAATTGGACGGAGCGCTCTCGAGCATTGTACTAATTCCCCTTTGCAGCCTCCTGATCCAATCCAGTCTCATCATCAATGGATTGGACACCGTCCAAAGAGCATTTTCATACCGGAGAGTGCAAAATCCGATTACGCTGCACACAGCGAATTTACGTACGCAAATTGCCTCGACGGATATAAAAAATAAATGTATAAATAAATAAAGAACGTTCTCCATAAAGATAAAACGTAATTAATTATCGCGCGCTTGCATAAGCAATGTTAAAATAATCCTCTTGAACAGAGAAAGAGAAGCAGATAATTATTATAGTTGGGCTATTTATAAATGGATCCGATGGGATTAATTGGAGCGCCGTCTTTTCTTGTGTGTATGTGCAGCTTCATGTGCAGATGATGATGAACCTCGGCGACAAATTGGCTATAATGGTTTTAATTGTAATTGTTTAATTGAATGTATTTTCCGTTCGAGCCGTTTTTAGTTTAATTACTTTATGAAGTTTCCTTGGGCTCGACGTTCGAATTGTCGTCGTAATTTAATGAAGGCATTTAGCGAACTCGAGACAATTGGAAAATGCTACTCCAATTCCACAGCTCAGCTTCAGTTTTCAACGTCAATTAATGAATGCATGCTTTGCTGATTAATGGAATTCACTAAATGAATGCATGATAATGACATGATATTCATCATGACAGTCATAAATAAATTATATATAAATAATTTGTACAAAATTACTTTAAATATACAGATTATTTCAGATATAAAGTTATACAAGATGGGCCAAAAGTCACGTCTGCGTGTAAAAATTGAATAACTCTTTAGTTTATTATTATTTTTTATTGTCATTTTCAGATTTTATTCATCGAACCTTGTTACACCAACATTCACTCTCAATTCATTACCAATTTCATTCTCAAAGAAGTAGGGACCAATAACCCTAACTTGAGCGAGTGAAATTGGCGATGGTGAACATCTCTGGGCTTTGATGTACCCCAAAATCGCATATTTTGCTTATTCATATATCCATTAAGATGGAAATGAGCTTCATCACTCATAATTAAATGGTTAAGAAACTTGTTATTTTCCGCGCACAACTCCAGAAAGCGTGTTGCCTAAATTAGTCGTTGATGATAGTCAACTGGTAAAAGTTGTTGGGCCAATTGCAATTGTATGGATGCATGTGTAAATGCCGAAGTGATCTTCTAGACTTGCCCAGTTGTCCAGAACATCTTCGATGTTTCTGGATGTTCTTCAACACGGTCAATGTTCTCCTGGTTCTGCACTATTCTCGGTCTTCCTATTCGTGGCAAGTCTGACACTGAACCTTGTTGTAGGAATCGTAGAATTAAACGATTAATTGCGGTTTGGCTAGGTACATCTCTGGTGTTGAAATAATTTCGATATGCTCGTTGCGTCAGTAAAATTAAATGCCAATTGGAAAAGTAAAATTCTACCACATTGGTCCGTTGCTCGTTTGTGTAATTTTGCATGTTGGTGTAACAAGGTTCGACGAATAAAATCTGAAAATAACATTAAAAAATAATTATAAACTAAATAGTTATTCAATTTTTTGGACTTTTTGTCCACCTTGTATAATTTGAAAATTATATGTAAATTGTTAAAAGCTGATACCATAATTATATTATTTATATTTTATATTCATAGTTTGTATTAGCTTATTTTTCATTAAAAACTCGATTATAGAAAACTAAAGAATTCCTTATAACATACTTAAGTAATATTAATAATAATACTTAAGTATGATTGTACTATTATTGGTGGATTTCTGTATATTTTATTCTCAAAGATGAACTTCCTAAAGAACATAATATGTCATGTAATACTATGTATTAATTTGTAAATTTGATTTATTAATATATATTTACTTTTATATTTAACTAAAGGCTGAAAATTAATAAAAAATAAAATTTAACAAATTATAAGGAATCAATCAAATAATATTTCATATTTTTTATAATATATATTGACTTTTTAGAACAATTTTACAATATATTAATGTTAATAATATTATTTCAGTCGTAATACCTTAATTAAAAGAATTGAGTAGTTGTTGCTTACAACCTACACAACTTTAAACTGGAGCACCTTAATTATTATTAAATAAATTAAGGTAATTAAGAACGTTAAGATTATTTCTCTAATTGAACTTTGCTCAGTCGTATGCTTTTCTGTAATATCAACAATTTCTTTTTTTTAATTAATGAAATAATTAGTAGTCATTTAATTAAAACATATTCATAATTAACAAAATAAAAAAGTTGTAATCCTGTTTACACGACAGGCAACACATTATACATTAGCGCGTTTATGGTTGCCTACAATAAAAATTGATTTATATACTATACTGGGTGTCTCATGTAATTTGTACGTATCGATTAGGCTTAAACTCTTTATAAAAATTATGTAAGGGCTTTGAATGTATTATTTTGTTTGTGCACATGCATAATGATTTAATGGGTTTATGTAAATGTAACATTTGGTACCAAAAAAAACTGCTTGTTTGTACAGGATTTATCGTTGAGGGGGTTGAAATGGAACGTTACAATTTTTGTGGGTAATCCAATCCTTGAAATATTATATTAGCAAATACGAGGTAAGCTTTTAAGCCCTCGGAGTGGGTAATTGTGCAAATACTATTTTAGGCCGTGTACATCAAAATTTGTTCATCAAGTTTTTGTTTCTCAAGTATGAACATATGTTTATTTGCAAGTAAAAGTTATGTTAAAAATCAATTTTTATCATTGATATTATTCAATATTTGGTTTATTTAATTAAAAATATACTAATTTAGGGTAAATGTAATCATTGAAAACAAAAATAGATTAATTTTGCCTAATTTTACCAAATTATTCCAAATAATTAGATTTTTTTAAGGTTCTAAATTTTTGTAAATTACTTGAGAACTAAGCAAAATAATTAGATCATAAAATATGCAAATTAAAGATAATTATGTCACCTCTCCAACGAATCTCGTAGTAAGTTGATGTTGTTAACCGTTCATCTGCTACAAGCTGTCAAAAATGTTAATGTAGAAATATTACTCTTTCATCATTGACATTTAATTGTAGGATAAGCACGCAAGCGAATTGCATAATTTAACATAAATGAAGAACTGAAAACAGTCAATTTTTGCATTGGAGATCTGAAAATGTTGTTCGTGAACATTTTCCAAATTTTTTGCAATTTTTATTTAATTTTGTTAAAAACACAACTTGATAGAGTTGTTCGTTTTTCTTTAATAAGACCAAAAATTAAAAAAAACTTTTTTAAATATGTTATTGCTGAATAAGGAATAACAGCTTTGTATAGCTCGAAAATAGTATAGACTAGGCAAATTAGTCCATACATGGATTTCGTGTAATTATCTAGCAATGATCAACAGTCATTTCTCAATGAGTATAATTATTACTATTAAATATTTCAAAATGAAACCATATGTTATTAATTGCGTAATTAATAATTAACTAGTTTTTTTCTTTATATCACTTAAGAAATTTCTAAATTAATACGATTATATTTACATATATTAATAGATTATATAAGAAATAAAGATAGTTACTAAACAAAAGAAATTAAAACAAAATAATTTGTACTTCAAATAGATTATTATTTAAATTGTGTAACAGTAATCAATACAAGATTATTTCTGAAATTGAGTTTTATTTAAATAGAATTATATATGAAATTCTGAAAGAAAGAAACAAAGTAAAATCTTCAATCTAAAATAATTTTTATTGTTGAGTTTTTATACAAGAAGACATTGGATCTTCTAACAAACAATTTTTGTTAATGTTAAGAAAACTTTACTACAAATACTACAAAAACGTCATTTAGTGAGTACAAAGTTCTTATAATTTAAGATTATAGTAGTAAACGTATATTTTCTGTAAATTATGTAATGATAATCAATTAATTAATTTTTAATTTACATTCAAGATTTTTTTTAATTATAAGTTTCAAATTGGAGTATTTGTGTTGTGATCGGAAAACTTTGTTACAAATACTACAAAAAACGTCATTTAGTGAGTACAATGTTATTAGTATTTAAGATTATAGTAGAAAAAGTATATTTTCTGTAAATTATTTAATAAAAATCAATGAATTAATTAACATTCAAGATTATTTTCAATGGTAAGATTCAAATTAGAGCATTTGTGTTATGGACGGAAAATTTTACTACAAAAACGTCATTTTGTGAGTACAAAGTTCTTATAATTTAAGATTATAGTAGTAAATGTACATTTTTCTGTAAATTATATAATGAAAATCAATGAATTAATTCACATTCAAGATTATTTTGAATGGTAAGATTCAAATTGGAGCATTTGTGTTATGTACGGAAAACTTTATTACAAATACTACAAAAATGTCATTTAGTGAGTACAAAGTTCTTATAATTTAAGATTAAACGTACGTTTTTATGTAAATTATGTAATGATTTTTTTTTTAATTGTGAGATTCAATTTACAGCATTTGTGTTATGACTGGAAAACTTTACTACAAATACT